ACTGGATACTTACCAATCAATTATGAAATTACTTGGATGGACAGCAGTGGCATGAAACCGTCCAATGGTATTATTGCTAATGGTGTCAACTCTCAGTTTAGGTCTCAACATGGCAGTCCTTCTACTAGTCCAGCTGTACAGAGTAACCTCACTATAGCATCAGTTAAAGTGGCTGACGGTGGTCTCTATACTTGTACTATGAGTGGTACTGGAGTGAGGGACACTATACTGCTTATTGTATTCAGACAGGTCACACAAATAGAGCTGGAATATTAACTAAAATGGATCTTAAAAGTGCCTAAAATGTAATTAAAATTAGTTGAAAATTGAAATTAAAATAAATAAAATTATAAATTAAAGTTTGTATGTGCATAGTGTGTCTCATGCATTTGCTTCATGAACACTGAAGAAAAGACAGAGGAGAGAGGGGGAAGAAAGTGGGACTGTGGGAGAGAGAAAGAAAGGGGATAGAAGTGACATAAATTTTAGGAATTCATCTTTTGTTGTTCATAATCACATTACCTAAAGGAAACAGATGGAGGGAGAGAGGTAAAGGAAACAAAATTAACTATCACAGTACAGCATTCAACTTTCAAGGTGTAAAACCTTTACAATTTTCACAGCCTTTAGCACAATCGTAAGATAAAGCTCCACAATTTGCAAAGTTTTTTAGGACTCCATGAAAAGTGGAAACATAGTGCTATATACATGTACATGTAGATCCATAGTATCTGATAATTTTTATACATTAGTAGAAACACCATAATCCTTGCATTTGTTGCTATTACTCTAGCCAAGAGTAGATAATGCGAACAATGTCATAACTACAGTATCTCATTTTACCCAATCAGAAGTCCCTTTCTTTTTGTGCACATTCTGTGGTACGGAATGCACACAGTCTATAAAAACAGTATTTTGAATGTTGCACCTCAATCTTATCTTATTGTGACGGTTCCAACAATGATTATGTCATAATGTTGGTTGAGCAACTGATGTACCGAATTTACAACAGCCATTAAAATAGTTTAACTATATTATTATAAACAATAGTATCAGTATTTTTGTTGCAGTTATAATGCTGAAAATAGCGTTATTAGTTTTGAATTTTAATATTGTTGGTTTTAGCCAGTACATTATTTTTTTTGCCATGCCCACTTGTGTCTAATCATGGTTATTGGCTGGGAACTCTATACTGGTTTATGCCTAATTTCTTTGAAAAAATTTTAAAGGTTTAAAATCAATGTTCATGAATCAAAACTATTATGACATTAAACTAAAAACTTTGTTTTGGATATGTATTGGAAACTGGGTTTCCTACTGAATTTTGGCATCAGCTTCTTGTCAAGTAGATTGTCAAGTTGCTCAAAATTGAAAATCACAAGGAGAGAATTCTCCATTAAAATTTTTTCCTAATACATATGCGTGTTCTTAAAAGATTTGATTTTTTACAAATTTTTTAAGTTGCTTAAAATTTGGTCAAATTTCGTCAAATATGGCTAGGAGAGAATCTCCATTTTTATAATTTTTCTGATCTATATACATCTTATCTGAGTTGATTCCAATTAAAATTAGATTTTAAAATAATAAATTGGCTCCAAATGCCATGTACATGTAGGTATTGGAGTGTTTGTCAGCTCATGTAGCACTCACTTAGCATACTTGGTGGAAAACCTTGATTGGAAAATGTAATAGAAATTGAGGAAAGCTAAAATAGCTAATTTTATTAGTTATTGTAACTAACTAAAGGAGTCAGGACACATCATTAATATATTATATATACATTTATCTATTTTTAGTTTTAAAAGAGAAAGTAAGTTATTGGGGATTAATTGTTTCAGAGGCTAACATTCCTTCTATTTTGACAAGGTACTCTAGTCCATTTGTGGATAAAGTGAGCAACCAGCTTGCCTCTCTTGTCTTAAATTCTTAATCAGGTATTGATAGTTTCTGGTATGGGGATAAATTTTCATTTATTGAGCTTTTATATTTGTTTTTATAAGTTTGTTTGACTTTTGTTGCATTTTTGATGTAAAATGTTCTCTATTCTTCTATTTATCCTCTTTTTCTACCTTCCTTCATGTCCTTGAACTGTTCTACTTTATACCTTTTGCATTTTTGATAGCATGAAATTTTGTGATTGGGCTAGAACTTGTATTTATTTGATTGTGCATGGTACCGTATAGCAGTAAAATTGGCCAAATAAATTCTCGGAGTCTACCATGAGTAGCCATCCTACCCTCATCGCCAAATTGTAATATATTTTAAATTCTTTATTCGGTTAAAACTCGAGAACAAGGGATAAGATCATGAGAGTATAATAGAGAGAGAACAGAGGAATGATAATTGAATAGAGTGCATGAAAAGCATGTGCTACAAAGCTACTATAACAAAAGAGCAGGCTAACAACACACATAATAATAATAATGGTACATTATGATAACACCTATGAACCTATAACTAAACACATTAACCACATAACATAGAGACATATAGAGATTAGAATAATTACAATAATACAATAATAAGAAGAATAGAATAATAAGAATAATACATACATATACATACATTACACTGACTACAAAACCACGGTCCAAAGCCTGGAGTTCTCCATGATACATAGCCAGGGTGGTGGACAAAGTAAAAGAAAGTAGCCACCAGGCTCCATCAGTTTCATCACAGACTGGCCAATCTCTCCACTATCAATACTGTCTGGATTGATGGCTCCATAGTCAAAGCCACCGCCATGCATGGCAAGCTTACATGTAGCAGAAATATTTTAGGTTTGTTATTTAATGATGGACACTATCTTCCAGTGACACCGTTAAGTCTTCAATTTTGATCGACAGGCCCCCATCTGTCCCGTATACCTGACCATTCAACCACTAGCTCAGTCAGCGATTATCTTGCTGCTGTATAGCCGTCATCAGCTTGTGAGTTCTTTGTGAATCCAAATCATTATAGCGCTCAACGAAAACCCAAAATCTTATGAAACAGCTTATCAAGTGAATTGGCATCCCAATTTTTCTGCCCTCTCTCTTAAAGTGGTGAAATGTTTATTGTTCAGTATCCGGGGGATACACTAACTGGATAATAATCCTTTGGACCACCAGTCCCTTCCCTTCACTGCCACCGTCTGTGTGGAGTAGTTACTTGCGCAACTTGCAGGACATCTGGTGGACTAGCCTACTAGGCCGGCCTTCCTGTGGACCATGCTCATACGATTAGCGAGGATATTCTAGTCGGGAGAAAAAATGGTTATAAAAGGCACATCAGTACTGACTAGACTGACTTTGTTCTATCTTTCGCAATGGGTAAAAGTTGGGGGCTTTATCATCCCGTCATCTCCTTCCAGAATTTTTATTATTGTTCCAAGAACCTTTTCAGGGTCCCAGCGTCTAAGAAGCATCAGCCGTTAAGTAATGGAGAGAGACGCTCTTGTGACTTCCTATTGATAGAGTCTTTCTCTGAATCCCTCGGAGAAGAAATCCATCGTGGTGCCTGGATCCAGGTATTTGATGAAATCCTTTCTGAACTTGCTTTGACATGCACAGGAATCCTCTAGGCTCCCAATTTATATCTGACTTTCTGACCTGTTTTGAGTGGTGTACCACAAGGGAGTGTCATTGGGCCTCTATTCTTACTCTATATTTGCTGACGACTCCAAATGTTTTAATGAGATCTCCTCTGCAGTTGACTGCTCTATATAGTGCTGCAAGAGAAACCGAATGCAGCCCACAACTCAAGTGGAGCATATATACTATCTATGAGTGGAGCGATGAATGGGACTTAAAGTTTAACATTATAGCCAAAAAATTGCCAGTACGATTTTCAAAAAGTAGTTGTAGACCTCCACCATATGATTAAACGATCCATGGGATAACATCTCTGCCTGCAGTACAACTAAAGATCTTGCATGGTATCAATTTTTCATCAGATGTATTGTGGTCACACTTGTCAGATCCTTGTGGTCTTATGGTTCCCAGGTATGGAGACCTACTTTAGGGAAAGATATTGTGAGTTTGGAAAGGATTCAGAGACGTGCTACTAAGTTTATATTGTCAGATTATTATTCTACCTACAAGGATCATTTGATTATAAACTCAGCCTCCTGCCACTAGCTATGTATCTTGAATATCTGGATATTTCTTTTATGTTCCATGCACTGCTCAGTATATGGATGCTGGTGGTAACTTTGATCTCTCTTCTTATATCTCCTTTGCTCACAGTACTACCAGGGCTGCTAGCCTCAATATAAACTGCTACACAACACTCCCCAGTCCCCACTTAACTCTTTCCTCTCATTTCTATTTTAATTGCCTTCCCCGATTTTGGAACAAACTTCCTTTCTTCAATCTCTCCCAATCTATTCACACTCTGTATTAAACTCAAGAAATTTCTCTGGTCCTAATTTCTAGATAATTTTGATGGTAATAATCCTAGATGTACTTTTATTTTTATGTGTATTTGCAATAAATTTTTGCCATGTCCTACGTCCACTAACTTGTTTCATCTCTCATACTGGTATTTGTTGTCTTTTTCTTTTCTCTACTACTGTGTCTGTGTTACCCTACTTATTAGTTTATTTATACTGGGTATGCAGCTTCTCGGTTGTATGTCTCTCAAACTGCATTTCTCTCACTCTTTATTAAAATAATAATAACTTTAGTAATACATGTAGTTAATAAACTACAGATAACATCAGTTAAAATTGATAATTCTCTCCTTTTCAATTTTGACAAAATTTGGCCAAAGACCTTTTACTATAGTGCAGAGACTTTGGCCCGATTTTGGGGCAACATTAAAATTTATCAAAAAATACAAATTAATTTTGATCTGAATCAACTCAAGTTACAAAGTATTCTCTAGAGTTTTTTGGAATACCATGTTTTTCACAAGCATATTATACTAAGTTGCTAACAGCATGCATATTGTTGACATTGAATATGCCAAAATCTTATGAGGAGTATGGAGTAGATATATAGACATTGTAAATTTTTTTGCACAATTTTTATTAAAATTTTTATTCTAAAATTCATACATTTATCATGATGTGATTATTCATTAATAATAACAATAATAATAATAATAATAATAGTACACATTAAAGCTCAGGTGTAGTTTTTTCACTTCATAATGAGAATTAAAGAGAGGGAGGGGCTAGAAAGACACAGCAAAAGCAAATAATAACTATTAATAAATTTAAAGAAATGAATAATAATAATAATAACAATATTCTTGATATGCGTTGATCAAAAGTTAACAATAATTTTTATTAGTGGTATGTATACTCAAAGCCACACCCACATACAGTACTCTATATAAGGTAAGAGGCTCCTACTCTGCTATGCGACAAACTCGGCGTTTGTGTATGTGAAATCTTTAAATTCAGTTTGAGAGATGTTATCTAAAGCTGATGATTCTATTGGAGTGAGTCTTGGTTCTTCCGTTATAAAGTCAGCATCGAAATTACTAAAATCACGTTTGCCACGCTACAAGGAAAAGGATGAGATTCAATTACCGTATAGAAGGAAATTGTGGAGGGAGTTAAATTTGGCGAATTGCTAAATTTAGGTGATTGGTGAATTTTAATTTGGCAAATTTTTGGCCATGTGCCATTAGCATGCGCATAATGGCTCAAAATGGCAGATTTTATTTTGGCGAATGGCTATCAAAACAACAAATTTGCCAAATTTAACTACCTCCAATATTTCCTTCTATACGGTATTAGAGAAAGAGGATAGGGAAAAGGAAGAAAAGAGAAGGGAGGGGAAGAGAAAAGGAGGTGAGTTAAGGAGAGAAAAGAAGAGGAGAAGAGATGTATACTAACCACTTGTGGTTTAAAAGGAGGTGGTATTTGTCTCTTCTCTAGTTTCTCCCAGTCAATGGTCCTAAAGAAGGCGTGAATCTTAATCTGTCTCTCGCCTATACCAGGCTGACATCCTAATCTCCTTGCTGGGTTCTTTGTTAAAAACTAAAAAAAAAAAATTAAAAGTAACACATTAATTGGGTGAAGCCCACTCTGGTGAAAATTTTCTGTATGTACAGTACATGTATGTACTGTCACTGCTGTGTATGGGCGTGACTGGGAGGCGTGGCCAAAAGGCTGAGCCCCTTAATGTTTTACATTCTTTCTAGTAATAATGAATTGATCTCTTATTGTGATAGAGATTAGGCGAGGGCCCCTGCTGCTTAAAACAATAAGAATAAATAATCATTAATAATTTCTTATCACTAACAGACCACACTACCATAATTGGCTAATTGATGATAGAGCATGAGCTCTGCATGTGCACAACACACATCAAATAGGCACACATGTACATGTACATTGTAGACACTATACATGTACTATACATGTACATGTACATGCTTTGCCTTACCCCTCTTAATATGGAGTTGGCCTCTCGACTCAACCAGACTGGATAAAGGACCTCGTCATTTCTAATCGCTTCAAACAACTCGTCCTCATTGTCAGCCTCAAACGGAGGCTGTCCGGCCATCATCTCATACATGAGGATACCCAGAGCCCACCAGTCCACAGAGGAACCGTAATCCTTCTCTTCTAGTATCTGAGAGGAAGAGAGTTCATGTCAAGTAATGATAACATAATGGAACTACATGTTACATTGTAAATAATGAATCACATTGTAAACTGTCAGTTCCATATTTCTATAACAGCCTTTCTGACTACAATTATCTCTTCCCCCTCCCTCTCTCTCCTTCCTTTCCTCTACTCTCTCTCTCTTTCCCTCCCTCCCTCCCTCTCTCTCTCTCCCTCTCTCTTTTTCCCTCTCACTTCTGGAGCAATGTAGTCAGGAGTTCCACAGAAAGTTGAGGTGAGGCGGCCATCTTTAATATTCTCTTTACACATTCCAAAATCAGCAACTTTAACGTGACCATCAGAATCAAGAAGAACATTATCGAGTTTAAGATCTCTGGAATAGAAAAAGAGAGAGAAGTAAAAAGAAAAAAAGAGATTTAAAGATTTAGAGAAGACAATAAAGCATACATGTACATTATGTTCATAGTACATGCAGAACTTGCAATATATGTGTATTATTATGAAAATTTACTTAACACTCCAATTACCTGTATATAATACCCACGTTGTGAAGAAACAGCAGAGCAAGAATGATCTCAGCCGAATAAAACCTAAAAATATAATTTCAAGTTCATGATACAATGGTCATGCAATTAAGATAAGTAGGCGTGGCAAAACAGGATGTAGGAGTAGGCGTGATACTCAGTCTATACCATAAATGACAGATAATTAAAGAGCATCAAACAAAGATAGACACATCAGACTGTCTTCAAGCCAACAGCTACCAATAATAAATGTACTGGATACAGTAGGAGTACATGCATGCATGAACATGTACATGTACATGCATTAAACGATTGTTGAGTGGGTTATTATTGTTGCAGTACCTTGCTCTGTCTTCATCGAATTTCCTGACTCTCTGAATTTGGAACATGAGATCGCCCCCGTTAACATACTCCATGACAAAGAATAACCTCTCCTGGAGAGGAAGGGAGGGAAAGAGAGAGGGGGGGGGAGAAGAGAGGAAGAAATAAAATGAGAAAGAGATAAAGATGCATAAAGACATTAAGATGAAAGAGGAGACAGTATCCAACAAGAAAAAGAGAGAAATAAAGATACATAAGTGTGAACAAACCAACAGCTAGTCAAAAAAACACAAACCAATGCGAATGGAATAATGTACATAATATAAAGTGTGTATCATACCTCTGTCTGGAAACAAGAGTGCATGGAAGTTAAGTAAGGATGTCTACAAGCTAATGCCAGCACTCTCTTCTCTGTCAGCACACACTCAATGTCATCATCTTGTATCACGTCTTTACGCAACACTTTAATGGCATACACACGATCACTGTTCTTCATTTCAGCTAACAGAACCTATACTCACACACACACATCACATGATATTATACACATGTTCACTCGATTATTGACTTACTTTCCCAAAGGAGCCTTTACCGAGGACTTTGAGGAATTTAAAATCATCTAGAGTGACAACTTTCTGCAAGGCTGCAGGCTCTGGGGCTTTAATCTGACGAACAGGGGCAGGAATATCGGGAGGTTTCAAGGGACCGTTCTCCTCCGATTTCACAGAAGTTACGGATTTTCTTTTAGACTAAAGAGAGGGAAAGAGACAGTTAGGGAGGGAGAGAGAAAGAGAGGAAGAAGGACAAAGTTTAAAGTTATAATGAAAGGAAATAAGAATATAGGCTGCCAATAATTAATATGACAAATATACTACATGATCAATTATGATGTAAGCTTCTATTGTCATTCGAAACAACAAATGAAGAAATCAACAATACAAATACAAAGAATATCATCATAGCAAGTGTATACATGCATGTATGTGTACAATAAGTAGCTTAAGCTTACTCCGGATAAGCTAAGCTGATCGGCAGAGACACCCATCTGTGACATCATCTTGGCCAGTGAGACTTGATCTATGCCACAGCTATGGGCAACAAACTGCTCACATCTTTGATGTACATTAATAGCACAAGCTAAGAGAAAGAGAGGGAGAGAGAGAGATGGAGAGAGAGGGGGGAGAGAGAGAGGTAGAGGAGAGAGAGAGAGAGGAGAGAGAGGGAGAGAGAAGAGAAAAAAGAGAGAGGGAAAGAAAAAATATATATAATATACATGTACAATATAGCATGAAAGAGAGAGAGAGGCAATATTAAGAACTAAAGGTGGGAGAAAAATAACAAGAACAAACTGAAAGGGAAAGATGAGAGAAACAAAGATGACATAATACATGTGAATGGACATACCTTCACATTTCAGTCCTTGCCTATATAATCCCCATAGTAACGAACCACAATGTGAACAGAAGGTTGGTCTTTTGTAGTTATGGACTTTAAACCGATGAGGAACATTTATGCTAAAACGAGCCGAAGCCTTAGCAGTGTCCTAAGGTACATGTACATGTATAGTCATGTGATGGTCATGTGACATATATGTATCTCACCTCATCCTCGGTGATTTTCCGGCCAGTACATGGCGTGATTATCGATTTGTGACATCTCTTGTGGACGACCATAGAACAAACTAAAAAAACAAGCATTTAAAACCAGTTCTCTATCGATTCAATAACAGTACCTTGACATTGATAGCCTTGCTTGTTGACCAGACCCCTTTTAACAAGACAGATCAGAGGAGGGAGGGAGGGAGAGAGACACATGTAAAGTAAACAATACAATAATTCATTTATTCTCTTACCAAATGAAGTCCCTGCAGTGAGCACAAAATGTAAACTGCCTCAGATAAGTTGCCATAAATTTGTGAGCATTCACAATATGAATCTTTCTCCTCACTGCTCCACGATGGCCCTTGATTACCTGACTACGAACATGAAACTCTTTCTTTGCTAAACCTTGGGAATAATTAGAGAGGAGAGAGAGGGGGGAAGGGGAGAGAGAGAAGGGGAAGGGGAGAGAGAGAAGAGGAAGGGGAGAGAGAGGGGAAGGGAAGAGAGAGAGGGGGGAAGGGAAGACAGAGAGGGGGAGAGAGAGAGGAGAGAGAGAGAGGAGGGAGGGGAGAGAGAGAGAGGCGAGAGAGAGAGAGAGAGAGGAGAGAGAGGCGAGAGAGAGAGAGAGAGAGAGAGAGAGGAGAGAGAGGGGAGGAAGGGAAAGAATGGATAAACAAGAGCATTATAAAAGGTGTGGCCACTGTGGCTTCTGTATGTCTATCCATCAACATCTTTTATGGTAATATTTGTGATGCAATGCTTGCCTGTCAGTGAGTATAGGGGGATTGCTAATGAGTATTAACTGTCTACATTATTAAAATTATGTGTGCAGTGTGTACCAGGTATGTACATGTACGTACATGCACACAAGATGTAGTGGGCATAAACAGATACATGTGTACATGTATGTGTGTGGTTATGACACTTACTTCCCCATTTCTCTTGGAACTGAATACGAAAGCGAATTGAACCTTCTGGCTCCAACTCAAGCTACATGTAGAAAGAGAGAGAGAGAGAGAAAATGTAACATACCAACAAAAGTATGACAAATGCATATAAGTCCTAATAATAACAACAACACTGTAAAATAATAAATATACAAGTATGCACCCCCTAATTGCCTGGTCCACAAACACTAATATTACAATTACTTTTAAAAATATTATTACTAATTATCACTACAACTAAACATGTGGTACATGTGCTTTCGTGTTGACCCCTCCCTCCTTTTAATACATCATTAGTCCATGGACAATCGAGAAACTACCTATACCTAGAAACTCTCTATAGTATTACTTACAGTAAACTCATCTTCCTTTGTGAGCCTGATTTCAGAGACAGGAACTTGTACGTGTGCAATGAAAGGGTTGGGGGGTATCGTCGAGGCATGAAACAAGGCTATTTGCATCCTAGAAGCATCCTCTACAGGCTCTTCGACCAGCTCGTTCCAAACGGGACAGTACGTGTTGGTCTTGTGGGTCGTTTTGCCAAAATAAATGTCGTCGAAATCCACGACGCAGTATGGATCAAAGTCCTTGTTAGAGAGCTTGTGGCCCCCGGGAAGGGTGACTGATTTGAGGTTCTGCGCCTCTAGGATGGTCATAGAGACCAGGCCAGTGAAAGTATCTGGATTACCTCCCGCGCCAGCCATCACTCATCAGGAGTACTGGATAGACGAGAGAGATGAGGGACGGGGCTAAAGTGAAAAAAAAAAGATGGCAGGAAGGAGGGTTGTTTGTTAGAAGTCAATCGAGAGAGTATAAAACGATAAACTAAACCAAACACTATCAATAAGGACTGAAAGATAAGACAGAGGAAACGGACTCAAGTGACGAAGGAAAAAACGAATTATTAAATTATTTGGCCACGCCTCCTTAATAGAAATGAATTATTATTAACCCCCAAGCAAAACCAAATAAAATGGACAAGCCTCAGATCATAGCCCACGTTGAAAAGAGCCTCAATTTCACACTCTACGACGCCAAGTGGATACCATGCAGTGCTAAGTGTGTCGTCCTAGGCTCTCACCCTCGAGATACGGGTGCATTCCATATATACGAGCTAAGCAAAGGGGAGCTCAAGTCTATCAAAGAGGTCAGGTGATGGTCACGTGACCCCTTTACTCTCTTATTTTTTTAGTCCGAAAAAAAGCATTCCTTCAAGTGTGGGACATTCGGCGGGACAAGTTTGCACCAGCGTAATCTAGCAACCGGGGACTTTGCTGGCTTCCTCCAAATATGGTCAGCCAAGTGCTAATTAATTAGAATAACGTCTTTTTTGTAGGGACCTGGAAAAAACTGACCTCCCGATATACTCGGTGAAAGGTCACGAGTTGATAATTAACGCTATTGATGGAGTGGGTGGGCTGGGGATTGGAGGAGGGGCTCCAGAGATAGTGACAGGAAGCAGAGATGGTAAGCTAAAGTATAGATTTATTATCAAAATTAGGGCTGGTGGAGTTTTGTTTACTTCCTTTTATTAGGCGAGCTAATCATATTAATATGATAAATTGTATTTTATGAATTATAATAAGGGCATGTGATATGCATGTGTGTATAATTTGAGATTAGTGAGGAATTCCTATACAAATTAGTATGGGATTATTATTAATTATGGTAATAAACTATTTGTACAGGCACATTAGGTCTGGTATGCATAATAATTGTATGGCAACACTGTAATGTGAATGACAATACTTTAAAGTTAGATACACATGTATGTGCGTATGTGTAAATTATTATTAATCTATTTATTTACGTTGACTGTTATGCTAATTGTATAAGGTTATATAGCCTTGGTTTATGTCTATACAGTTATCCACTTTGTTTATTTAATACAGCGATTACATGTGAATATAACGTGTACTTGTAGGTACTGTTAAAGTTTGGGATCCTCGTCAAAAGGGCACGCCCGTGGCCACCATGTCTCCGGCCGAGGGTGACATGAAGAGGGACTGCTGGGCAGTTGCTTTCGGTAATTCGTACAATGATGAAGAGAGGTGTGTCGTGTCTGGATATGACAATGGAGACATTAAAATGTTTGATTTGAGAACCATGACTTTAAAATGGGAGACCAATGTTAAGAATGGGGTAAGAAAAGAATCAATTTTTTTGCTACTTTTTACTTTATATTCTTAACCTTTCTCTCTCTCTCTCTCCTTTTTTTTTAGGTCTGTGGGTTAGAGTTTGATAGGAAAGATATTCCAATGAACAAGCTGGTCTCTGCTACCCTAGAATCAAAATTTAACTTGTTTGATCTTAGAACTTTCCATCCAGCAAAAGGCTACACATCACTTACTGAAAAGGTAGCAGAGAGAGAGGGAGAAAGAAGTCATAATAATGTCCTAACTGGTTGTTGTTATTGTTGTTTCTATTGTTGTTACTTTGACATTCCTTCTTTGTAATATAATTATTAATTAGCACATTCACTTTCCATCAGTCATATGTCAGCTTTCGAGTTTTTATTTATCTTTTTACAAAAATACTTATCTTTATCTGATTATCTCACTTTCCATCTCTTTCCCTCCTCACCCTTTCTCTTTCTGTTGTTAGTATCACAAGTCCACCACACTGTGGTGTGCAAGACACTCACCTCACAATCGTGACCTCTTCATGACAACTGGTGGAGACGGATCTATTAGTTTATGGAAATAGTTAGTGTCCATGTACATGTGCATGTACCTATACTGTACTCAAAATTTATGTCTTCCTATCCCTTCCCCCTTTTCCTCTTCTTTTAGTTCCTACCCCAGTAAGAGAAGCAAGGCTGATGAAGGCGGGCATGAGGTTGGGGTAGTCGGTTCTGTTGGTCTCCTTCAAACTGTCACTTTCTCGACTCAACCAATCTCTAGTCTTGACTGGAGCCCAGATAAGGTGCAGTGACATACCGTATAGCGGGAAATTTTCGAGGATAACAAATTTTGCAAATTTCTTCATGATTCACGAAATTAAATTCCTTGAAAATCAATTTAATACGGTACAAGATGGCAAATTAGTAGAAATTCGCAAAAAATTAATTCCACAAACTTCCGGATACAGATCATTCGCGAAATTTATTATCCTCGAAAAAAAAACCACTATACGGTATAGGGGGGGGGGATTGGAGAACTACTGTACATGTAGTTTAAATTAGAAGTGGTACTAGTTTTTAAATTACCATTTTTACTGTACATGTTCTTATATTATAGGAAGGGTTGCTTGTTACAACATCTTTTGATCAAACTGTTCGTATATGTCTCGTCACCAGACTCAGTACATGTTAATTATTCATATCACACACACACACACACTTACAATCATCCAACACAACCATTTCACTTGATTGTAATAATAATTATTATGTTATCATAAAAGAAGATATCTTCATTGGAAATTTAACATCGTGAAAATTATCACGTGCTACAATTAAGAATAAAACACAATAAATTATAATAAATAGAATGAGGACTATGATTCTCTTCTCCAAAATCTCAGAATATAAGTCACAGTAGAGAATGTGGCAGCATTGGTAGGAAAAGCTCTGATCAAAGTCGAGTTCAAGCCTCTAAAAAAGACCTTGTACCCCTCGGCCCGATAGCTCTTCCTAAAGCAATCCACCATACCTGTATACTGCTGTGGACCGTCGACGCCATCTACCTGTATCCGTGATTTAATTACGTCAAATGGATAAGTCACCAGCCATGCGTTGATCCCACTAAAACCGCCAGCGAGGCAGAGCTCCATTGGGCCCAGATCAGTCACGGGTTCCCCGCGGGCTAATTTCAGACAAAGATAATCGTAAGTATAAAAGTACACAGCAAAAGCTGGGGTCTCCCGCCAAAACGTCACAGTCAATCCGTTACTCAGTCCGAGCGGCCCTTCTGTTCTGACAATGTGGAGTGCTGTCTGTAGGGGACCTCGGTATTGCGGAGACCTACCTCCAGCTGATTTGACATCCTTTTTCTTGCGTATGGTATGTTCTTTGCCAATGCCTTGCATTTGCATCCTTAGCTTTATGAGCTCAAGAGGTGAGCATATGAAGCACTGGACTACTCCTGCTGAAGCACCTGAAATGGCTGAATTAGTAAGGAAAGGAAAAAGGCTTAGGTTCTCAAGGTGACGCATTGAAATACCGTACACTCCAAATATGGTAGCATTTATGGCGGCCATTCCAAGGAGCGGTGATGCCATCCCTTTATACAGACCATGTACCTAAGAATAGTAACGAAAACTGATTAAGTGTGAGTAATAGTGAAATGAACAAGTTAATGTAATCAGAACCAGGAATTAAATTAAAAGGTACAGTACATGCACATGTATAAACAGTCAGCATAATAGAAAAACAATTACACACGTACAAATGCATGCAATGTGGTGAAACGAGACAGCATCATAGCATGAATCAGTACTCATAATAGACATGCAACCATGAAATTACATTATTAGTATCATTATTAGCTAGTACTGGGCTATACACTGTGTATGCTGATGTTGTATGGCTTGTTGGAACTAATCTTTATTTAATGTTGGCAAACAAACCAAATGGACGATAGGGATAAAGTAATTTTCAATATTATTAATATTTTATTTTTATTTTTCTAGCTAAACATTAAAAGTACTATACTGTATTTGTGGCTGCTGGTAATGGTGAATTTCATACACCAAAATACTTTTGGAATCAGCTCAAACTATAAAAGCAGCATAAGGACATACCGGTATACATGTATGAGAAAAACATTAAAATGAAGAATTCTTTTCTAGTCATTTTTGGTGAAATTTGGCCAAAGACCATGTAGTAGTACAGGGACTTTGGCCCAATTTTGGAGCAGCTTTAAAAATTCATAAAAATCAATTTTGATTGGAATCAGCTCAAACTTGCTACACAGCATAAAAACATGTAAATGTATCAGGAAAATTATAAAAACAGAGAATTCTCTCCTAGTCATTTTTGGAAAAATTTGACCAATGACCCTGTATTACTATAGCACAAGGACTTTGGTCTAATTTTTGAGCAACTTGAAAAATTCATAAAAAATCCAAGTTGCTCAGAATGAGCTCAAATTTCAAAACAGAAGGGCATCAGAAAAAAATTTAAAATTAAGAACACTTATAAATTAAAATTATCAGACATATACGCATAGCCTACCCCTTCAGTTTTAATGATATCAGCAAAGCAATGAATAGTTCCATGATATCTTATTGCCCTTCCCCCCACTCCTTGGGTCTGGAGCCTAGACTGTATGTAAACAAAGGAGTAGGTGTGGCTCATCATAAAATTATTAATTACCTTCACTGTGTCGAATGGGTGACCGACTATAAGGCCTGATACACCTAAAAAGAAGGAAGAATGGAGTCTCAGATTGATGAGTGCACTTACCTCCCCACCATCCCGCTACAAACTCTTGAAGGATTGACATGAGCGTCCAGCATGACCCTCAATCGTGACACACCTTCACGTGATCTCCGCCCATGTTAGTATCCGGTAAATACTTATAGTATCCGGTAAAAACTTATAGTAACCGGAGTAGTCTACAGAAAGTATCCGGATGTTTATACGGAAACCACGTGTTTTATGTTTTCTGAACACTTCCGCAGATATTCCGGACACGGAATTACAACATGGCGTCTCGTGGGTTGCCTTCAGGTAAATCTTGTTTTAAATTCATCTTGGTTATTGTTTCGACAGTGTTATTCATTGCTGGTACAACTGCAGTTGGTAAAACTGACCTCTCCATTCAGCTAGCTAAACTACTTGGGGGAGAAATAGTGTCTGCAGACTCAGTTCAGGTGCGTGGGTGTTACCTCATTAATAATAATTGAATGATGATTAGGTATATAAGTGTATGGACATTGGGTCGGCTAAGATAGATAAGAGCATTAGAGATGAGGTTAGGCATCACATGATTGATGTAGTTGATGTCAGGACTCCATTCAATGTCGCTGATTTCTGCCAACTTGCCAACGAAGCAATGATTGTAAGTATGCATGCGTTATAGTATAATAATGGTTAATGGTGGTTTTTTACAATAATAACAACTTGTGATTTACGAAATCAAATTTCCAGTTATTGTTTCATTTCATAAATCTTCATCTTGCAAATTTCTTATTCTCAAAAAAGCACTGGATTTATTATCAATCTAGTACTGATTAAGAAATAATGGATGTTTTTCTTACATTATTAGGATATTATCAAAAGAGGAAAAGTCCCTATTGTAGTCGGAGGGACCAGTTTCTATTTCAATTTCTTAATGGGTGGGGAAACCGGAGCTCCACCCTCTACCGAGTCCTCTCGTGCCTACATTGATGAGCTCCTAGCAGAGGATGGAGGAGACTGGGATAAAAGGTACTTGGTCACTCGTCTCCCCTCCGTCTCTCCTCTTTTATTTCATTGTTGTGTAAAGTTTCTCTCGTCTGCAGTCTCTTGATCCTACATATGCAGCCGTGGTTCAATGTAATGACTGGTACAGGTTGAAGAGAGGGCTGGATATATGCATACAGTCTGGAAGGTGAAGAATTAATTATTTTTATCTTATACTTGTAGGTTCTTGTAGTAGCATGTGCAAATAAATTTTATCACTTTTTTCTAGGACAGTGACATCCTTTAAAGTAGACAAGCATGATGGTACACCCATTTGATTTTGTTTTTGTTATCAATATTTTTACTTTTGTTGTTGTGTAGTTAAACTTCCTTATTCGTATCATTGCTTATTTTTAACAATGCCTCGTGTTCAACTGTATAGGCGTATTGATGAAAGATGTGAGATAATGACAAAGAATGGGCTACTAAAAGTAAGAGGTGATATGTACATGTAGAGAAGACTTATAAAGTTTTTCATTTTTTGTGAATCATGACTCATCCCACAGTCTGTTTATACTTTTACTTTGTATGTAATGCCTATTATACAAACCAGGCTTGGGGTCAATTACAATTACAGTGTGTAATTGTAATTGTAATTGGGTTATACATATTGTAATTGTGTAATTGTGACTGTAATTGTGCCTACAATCTTACTTTGATATTCTACCTATATTAGTCCCCTAGAGTGAATTTTCAGCATTGTAAGCCTGATTATGTTCACTGATTAACAAAACTTTTAAAAACTCAATGCAATGGGGTAAAAAATCACTGTTATTTTTGTCATGATATGAGTAAAATTAAGATCATTGTAATTAATGCTGTAATTGCAAGCTATTGCCATTGTAATTGTAATTGAGTGTCTCATCTATGGCAGTAATTGTAATTGTAATTGAAATGAAATTTTGTAATTGACCCCAAGCCTGATACAAACACTATTTTGTATTTCATTTCAGTTTTTGGAGGAAAAATTAAAAGCTATAATGTATATTACAGGAAGTAATTGATCTTGTAAGGAATCATGGATTAGTGGCTGAGAGTCCTCCAGGGAAGAGTATAGGCTATTGTGAAACACTCAAGTATTTATCGGAATCTTGGGGCTTTCCTCATTCACCATGTGACGATCATGCAACTGACAGAAACACCATTAGGAAAGAGTTTTTAGAGTTTATTTCTGACTACCAGGCTAGCACTAGGTAATATTATTTAATTGCTCTGGCTGTTATTTTCTTTTCTTTTTTTATAGACAGTTGGCCTGTAAGCAGATGGTTTGGTTTAAAAGGGAGGATAGTTTTCACTGGCTAAACATGTCCTCCGGTGGAGAGGGGAGACTCTCTGTGGAACTTGTTGCAGAAAGAGTTAAAGATTGGTTTTTGACTGGCAGGCCTCTTCCTCCAGAATGGGATGGATCCTCATTGAAGAAACTAGTAAGGGTCATTTTTAAAGACAGCGACATAAAAAGTGTATTTTTAGACGAGAGTGCAAGAAAAAGAACTTATGCTGTACTTGTCTGTCAGAACGATATATTCTAGTGACGACGATATTGACAAGACGATTTTAGAAGTAACCGATTGTTTAAATTATAAATAACATACATGCGCTAAAGAACATACACAAATACATAAAATGGAACAATTTCTTATGATTTTAAGTCTGTGATTTTTGTGTGTCTATTTTTTACATTATTGAACACTTTCGTCTTTGATGTTGTCTCCTACCATTTGTACGTCTTTGCCGTCTTATTGCAGGTGGGCGATACTCGCCATTTGGCTGATCTTTTAAAAACTCTTTCATTGCTTCGGCCATCTCTTTCTCATAATCGCTGTCTATTTCCTTTTGTAGCTTTGTTTGTATGTCACTGAAGTGATTGGTTATTACACTCTCACAGTCTTGACATGAGAAGACGGATATAGGAACATTTGTCAGCTCAGCAAATTTAAGGAGCAGAACTCTGACCTCAATCACTATTATCAAAAAGTTAAAAATAGAATAAAATCAAGTAATACAATTGATACAACTTTAAACTTTAACCTTACTACTTTAAACAACTAGTAATAGCTACTTACTTTTTAAGGAGTTTGCTTGATGGCAGTTGTGGCAAAACCTGTATTCCGTTGCATAGCTATCCAATAACTGGCACTGTCTTGGTGGGAGAGCCTTTTCTGCCCAGTAGTCAGTTTGACTTGTCATGACAGTGCATGATGTAAGTGCTTGGAGGCTGTCTGGATTTCTGCTTGCCTTCTGTGTCCTTGTGATCCTTTTTATGTGAGGCCATGACTCGTAGCCATCTGAGCGTTGCTCCAGGTCGTTGTCGAGTCTTTTGAGGTCTTCCAGTTTCTCTAGTTTTAAGACGACACCTGGTAGAGTCTTGAACTTATTTTTTGTGAGGTCCAAGTACTTGAGGTTACTGCAATACCCCAGGGTCAGTGGTAGTGTTTCGAGGCTGTTAGATGAGAGGGAGAGGGTTTCTAGTTTTCTCAGTCTACCGATGGATGGAGGGACTTTTGTCAAACTAGTTTTGTCAAGCCTCAAGGTTTTCAACTCGACCAGAGACCATAACTGCAATGCAAACGATAAGATGAGGTCAATTTTTTGTATGTCATAGTAATGTGACACTGCATTACCTGTAGCTGTTCTTGTAAGTCACCAGTTTGGAGGTTGTTCTGTGATAGGTCTAATTCTGTTAGATCATACAGCTGTCTCATTCCTTCCATCAATGGAAATTTTGGACCTTAAAAAGGATGATCGAAAAATGAGATTTGTGCTCCCAACGGAGTATTAAGTATTACCTGCTCTTGCATATCCTCTGAGCTTGAATATTTCTAATGATTTGAATGCATCAATAGTACAGAAATAGCTTGTCAGGAAACATTCATAATCAAACTAGATAGTAAGAACATTTAAATCATTAATAATTTGGATCATTATGTTAGAGACTAATGTACTTTTTCTTCTTGGTTGTCTTCACCATTAGTCAGTGCTTTTGAATCAAGTGCTGGATCAATGGATGATTGAAGTGCATCAAAGTCCAGTATCATTTCTTTCCTTTCCTTCAGTCCTTGCATCAATTCATTTGCATAGACTTGATGTGATGCACTCATCTTTTCTTGAATGTCTCCTCTGAAGAAGAATCTATCAATAGTAGTGGCTGTCATGATTGTTAGGCTGCAATGTTGCTCTTAACTCTGTGCCTCATCTGCTTTGCAATTTCCTTTTTATACTTGCTGACCTGCTCTGGAGCATGTTTATTTTTAGACTGCTTATGAGATGCAAATCTATTTTTAGAACACAAACCGGAAGTCAATTTATGGGCGTGATTAAAATTAATTTAACCCTTTTGGTTTTTAACATGGCGGAAAAGAGCCCTTTTGAAGTTAAACTAAAAGGTGACACCATTTTCATAGAAGATACAAAAGCAAGCCAATTAGAGAATTATAATATTAACTATCAGGTTTATCCTAGACTAATGAGTCCGAAGAATATTTGATAAATGCTCTACACAAAGCATGTGAGGGCTCCAGACCTCTCAAGTTGGTTCACTCTGGAGGTTGGAATGAAAGTAAATATTTCTTTTTTTATCATCAGAAAGTTTGTATTTTTTGTAGTCGTTCCTGTTCCTAACAAGTTTCTAATGGCTATTGTCAGTTTAGACTTTATCGTAGAGCTAAATCTTTCAAATTTGTCTCTACCCGGCTCCTCTTTAATGGTAAGTATGTTTCTTTTCATCATCAGTTACATTGAATAAAGGTTATTGATTATGCCATGCAGAAAGTAGAAACATTGAGCCAATTCTTACTACTAATGGCAGTCTAAAAATGCTGATTTCTATTGATGCATATGACATGAATATCCCTGTACCATAAATAGAAAGTTTGGGCATTTGGAATGCCATTTTCATTTTTTTCTTATCCCACAGTTTGGTGACATGTCATCTTTAAAAAACCTCGTTCTCAGTAAGACCGGTCTACGTCACTTGCATCCCTCCATTGGTCGTCTTAGAAGCCTTGAGTCCCTCTCCTTATCTCACAATCATCTCTATGACCTCCCTATCACCATACGCTTGCTGAACAAACTCCAACACCTTGACATTTCTAGAAACCTATTTCGGAGTCTCCCAGGAGGACTCTATCACATGCATAACCTCAAGAAACTCGAAGGCCTTCAAGAGAACCTTTTAGAACAGAACCCTGAATGGAAAGATGAGAATCACTTCATCACTTATACTTCTCCTCTTAAGAAACAGCTCGTGACTTTGGACATTGTTCAAAAGTTGTCTGATATATCAATTCAGAGTGCAGTTGGTCTCAATGTCTGGCGTATACCATTGCCAGAGCAACATCGATCAGATATCATAGAGAAATCAATCACTCTTGATTTGTGTGAGCACTGCTTGACGCCTGTCAAGAGAATAATGGAAGATCAGGAAACAAATGGTGAGTGTATTAAAGGGACTATTATAAGCTAGCGATGCATTTTTTTCTGTCTCTATACATGTACTAAATAGATGTAGTTGTGATGGTTGTATTTGATGGATCAATTTTATTTTCTATTCCTGTAGGCTTTCAGCTCAAGGTTTGTTTGATAGAGTTCTGTGAGATGAGAAATGTTCCTTTTAAATTTCTTACTTGCTCAGCAACTTGCAGGGACATGGTGATAGAGAGATTCTCAAGACTACAGAGCGAGCTAAAGATCAAAGGCTCGAATCAAAAGCTACCCGAAATACTGCTTAAAGATCAACACTATAGAGCCCAGCCATTCAAACTGGACAATTCCTCTTGTTAGAAGAATTTAAAACATTAAGGGCTCAGCCCTCACCTTGCCCGAGTGTGTGTGTACATATGTGTTAGCAGAACTAAATATCAGAGTCTATATTTTTATTTTTTATTTACAAATGTATGGAATTACTCAAGTCATGTTTGTCATTTTAGTGGTCTCGTTGTTTATTTAAACATTTACGGTACATCTTCAAGCCACGCCTACAATTACCTTATTTGGCAGTGAATAGTGCACGCTGCAGGACAGCAAAAGAGTCTTCGGGCGAGGGTTCATCTTGTCTCTCAATTATTCACAACTGGTGGTTTTAGCTCTTGGCACTTGCTGTAGAAAACATGGAGGAGGAAGATAACACCGGACAGCAACACGACATCAATGAAAAGTTGCTTCTCGACCTTGCCTGGGAGCGCCAGCAGAAGAAGGTGAGACGTGACGCGGCACACGCTTTGCACGTTTCCCACCTCCTCTCGCCTTGTATCCTTATCAAAAGGGCCTCACTGCTTTCCTTTAACATATCTCCTTTGCCTTTTGTGCATAAAAGCAACAATAATGATTACTTAAAATATCCTTCTCTCCATATACACACACACGTGTACATAGACTTTCACTGCCTGGTGCAACTCGCATTTAAGGAAGGTTGGCATTCAAATCAAAGAGATCGACCAAGACCTCAGAGATGGCATGGTTCTCCTTCGGCTCCTGGAGGTCATCTCCGGCGAGAAGATCACTCCACGAGAGAAGAAGGTCAAACTTCGTGTACACAAGATCTCCCTCCTGAATCAGGCCCTGGGGTTCATTGCAGAAAAGGGAGTGAAGCTTGTTGGAATCGGAGCCGAAGGTTAATTGTTATTGGTAGCAAACTGCACACTTTCATATTAACGTTTCCTCTTTCTAATCTTGCTTTGTATCTCCGTTCCTATCTCATAATAATTATTTATTATTACTACTACATGTACATATACTTTATGTACATTTTATTTGTTATTCTTTTAGAAATTTGCGATGGTAACCTGAAGATGACGCTCGGTATGATTTGGACCATCATCCTTCGCTTTGCTATTCAAGATATCTCGGTTGAAGGTATTGCACCCTCTCTGTCTTCTCCTTACACTTTTCTATTTGATATTTTCAGAGTTGTCAGCTAAAGAAGGTTTGCTTTTGTGGTGTCAGAGAAAGACACAGCCATACAAGAATGTCAATGTTAATAACTTCCACACCAGGTAAGTATACCTCTATCTCTCTCTCCCCTTCCCAGCAGACATACACACACATACACATTCTAAATGTATTCTCTCACTCTCTCCACCTCTCCCAAATGATCTTAATGCCTTTATGTTTTCCCATTGGTCCAAAAGCAACTGCCTTATTTGTTTTCATTGGCTAACACTAACAATTGAGTGGCTCTACACCATTATGGTTTTAATGTACTGTTATTCTAAACCCGACAACAGGAGGCCTCTCATGCAGAGACCTGTTTTCTAAACTTGCTCTTTAAACCGGTTTATGCATCTAGTAACTGTACTATGGTAATGTTTTTATTCATGGAAATGACTTAAGAGATAATGTAGGGAGTACTATGTTGTTTGTGAGTGAGTTTTCAGCCTAGCTAAGCTGTGTACATACATGTAAGATAATAAATTGACACTAACTTCATTATGACAGACATTGACTATGTAATCTGTCATGGCTTCACAGTTGATATGGAGGCACTATTGAAATGAGGGGAAAATTAAATTTTAGTTTTATCACTGATTTCAGTTTAGACTAGCCACCATAAATTTAGACTGTCCAATGAAGGGCCATTGAATAGCAAGAAGCCTTCCACAGTCTCCCAAGCCTTCCTTGTGCTATTATTACACTATCAATGTATACATGTATATGTGAGAGAAAGAGAGAGAGAGAGATAATTCTAGCTGTTATTATTACCATATTTGGTTATAATCTGGTGTGTTGCTCCTTGTCATGCCTTGCACTGTTAGTCCAATTATTGAGAGAGAAATAGGGAGAGATGCTTCATAGTGATTGGTAAAGGAAGAGTTTGTGTGTGTTTGGTTTCATTGTTTTTGAATGCATGCTTTCCAGTTTTTGTTTATTTCAGTCATAATTCTATCTGTTTTCAGTTTCAAGGATGGTCTTGCTTTCTGTGCTCTCATCCATCGTCACCGTCCTGACCTCATTGACTATGACAGCCTCAAAAAGGTAAGACAAACATGCTGCATATTGTAATCATCATACATGTACACTGTACATGTGCCTGATCTTTTTATGAGGCTTGTGTACTTGTATGAGACTCTAGTGTTTGTACTTTTGCATTCCTATAGAGCAATGATATGTATAACCTCAACCTTGCCTTCGATGTGGCCGAAAAACACCTTGATATCCCAAAGATGTTGGATGCTGAAGGTGAGAGAGAGAGAGAGAGAGAGAGAGATGAGCTAATTGGTCTTAGATGTACAGTACATGTACCCTGTATTGTATGGAGTTGTTGGTGTCATAAGTGACACATTCATGTGCAAAACTGTGTACATGTTATTATGTAGTACGCGGACACATGCTTAACACATGCTCACAGATCACACATACGATAATACATGTGTATGTGTACATAACCTTCATATATATATACATGTATGTGTGAACTTTATATATTCCACATTCCATGTCACTCATCCATTTATTCATTGAAATATTTGGAATTTCTAAAGAATGAATATCTTGACCATCATCGCTATTATTATTTTGGTCAATGTATTCTGTTCCTACTCCATTTGGCTGTACAAGTTAAGGCGTGTCTCTATCAAACAAAATAATTCTTAGATTGCATACTTTTATTGGCAGACAACATGTGTACTAGTACTTCAAGCTGTTTACATCTACATGTACATGTATTTATTTTTATTATTTCTTTTTTTGCAGATATACATGCATCAGCACGTCCAGATGAGCGCTCCATCATGACTTACGTCTCAGCTTATTATCATTGCTTTGCTCAGGGACAGAAGGCAGAGACAGCTGCCAAGAGGATTGGTAAAGTCCTTAACATCAACCAGGAGAATGAGAAACTCATGGAGCAGTATGAGACCATGGCCAGTGATGTAAGAACCCCCCCTCTCTCTCTCTCTCTCCCTCTTTTGTCTGAGTTGTCTCATATCATAAAGTTACTCACTTTCTTTTGTTTAATGATCCATTCAGTTCTTTTGTCAATTAAATCAACATGTTCATCTAAATGTGTAGTAATTAGCTTTTTCTCCTTCTCATAGCTCCTAGCATGGATTGACTCTGTTATGCCCTGGCTGGAGGATCGCTCTCCTGAAACTACCCTTCAAGATGCCCAGGTACCCTCCTCTCCTCCTAGTTACATGTCTTTCATAGCCTCTTACCCATAGTCCCGTCTGGAGGAGTACCGACAGTACGCTTCAGTTACCAAACCACCAAAGAGTGAAGAGAAGGGAAAGCTTGAGACTCATTTCCATACGCTACAGACCAAATTGAGAGTCAGCAACAGGCCTGCCTATGTTCCTTCTGAGGGGAAACTAGTATCTGTGAGTGTCCTTCCTTGATCTTTATTCTTTCCCTGATCCTCTCCCCCTCTCTTCCTATTCTAAATATTTTTGTGTCTTTATTGCTACATTATTTTGTAGGATATCAATGCTCGCTGGAAGCAGCTGGAAGAAGCAGAGAAGGACAGTGAGGAATACATATTGAGTGAATTGAGAAGGTAGGGACCATACAGCACTATGTACATGTACTTGTATACACAATTACACACATTAATTTTTATTTTTTCAGATTGAAGAGGCTTGAAGTCTTGGCTGAAAAGTTTAGCAGAAAGGCAACCAACATGGAGAAGTGGACTTCAGGACGTGCTGAAGAACTCCAACGCAATGATGACCTGGAGGAGGCAAACCTAGCAGGAATTCAAGTACGTGTACATGTACACGTGTCAATAAGTGCTCATCAACTAATGTTGTTAATTTTTTGTTTTTAGGCTTTGCAAAAGATCCATCAAACATTTGAGACTGATCTGCAGGCTGAGACAAGTCGAGTTGAAGGACTAGCAGCCATTGCCAATGAGCTAACGTATGTACATGTACATGTACACCATTAAACCAGCTTTTATTTCTCCCTCCCTAACACAGTGAGCTCAATTATCATGACTCTGATTCTGTCAATAAGCGTCTTGAGGAAATACGTCAATCATTTGTTGATCTTCAAAAGCTCTCAGAGGACAGGTCCACAAGAATACAGGTAGAAGAGTACTTGTACTTCCTACCCTGATCATTTCTCTCTCTCTCTCTCTTTTTCCCTAGACTGCTCTTGAGAAACAGCAACGTATTGATCAGTTGAGGCTCGAGTTTGCTAAGCGTGCTGCTGTAAGTATCATCATTTGTACACATGACCGCCCACATATGCTAGTAAAGTGTTCATGTATGGTCTACGTGTTGTAAACAGTCCTTTCAATTACTAGCTAATATGGATTCCGATGCATTCACTCACAATTAGATTATACTCTAGTAATGCACTTGTGTATTGAAATGTCACTTGTGAAGCCATTGATATTCTTATAATTAGTGTAACACTATTACTTATTGAATGTCTTCTGGCCTGAGGTGACTCATATGGCATGTACATGTTCACCTCTCTCTCTCTCTCTCTCTCCCCCCCCCTCTCTCTCTCTCTCTCTCCCCCCCCCTCTCTCTCTCTCTCTCTCTCCTCTCTCTCAGGCTTTCAATAATTGGATGGACAATGCTTTTGAAGACCTTCAGGAGGTCCCCGTCTGTGACAATGTTGCTGATGCAGAAGCCTTGATAGCTACCAATGAGACATGGAAGAACGGGCCACTGCAAGAGGCCAGTGCACAGTATGACAGCTTGAACAGTCTTGTTCAAGACATGGCTGAGCTTGGTAGCACTGAGAATCCATACACAACCCTGACTCCTGAGGTATAGTACATGTGCTTGTGGAGTGGGATAAACCTTTACTTTCTTTCTTTCTTTCTTTTAGGATGTCTATAATAAATGGTGTTCTCTTTTGGATGCTGTACCTAATCATGATGTAGTCCTTGAGGAGGAGCTTCAGAAGCAAAACCGTAAGTTTATAACATCAACATGTCACTAGGGTATTATTAGTATACTATTTGTGTACTTTTAGTATACTATTTGGATATTTTAGTATACTATATTGTATTTTGATATTTTTATATGGTATTGGTATACACTGAAATAGCTATTCCTCTTGCTATTTTTCTTCCATAATGTACTGTACATTTGTGTTATTATATATACAGTACGTACATGATGTTCATGTACTGTAGCTGTAGTCATATCAATGCTGGGATTATTGTTCACATGTTGTCCAGTTAATGTGGTCTACACGATTCTCCATTGATCACACGAAAAGCAACTGTGTACATCTTTTCACATCATTTATGTACATGTACAATACAACAACTGCTTAGATCCACATACTGTAATATTAATTCAATGTACTGTACGTACTGTATCTACGTACATGTACATGTACATATGTATTTTGTATCATGTGCATGTAATGTGCCTCCTCTTTTGTTTTTATTTCAGATAACGAAACACTCCGCCAGGACTTTGCATCTAAAGCTAACACAGCTGGTGCTTACATTGATGCTAAGAACTCCGCCCTCTCTGAGCTCAACCTCCAGTCCCAGGGGACGCTAGAGGAGCAGCTGGCATCCCTCAAGGCCTTCCATGAAGAAGTCCAAAGCTTCCAGAGTAATATTGATGCCTGCGAGGACTCCAATCAACAAATGCAGGCAGCCATGGTCTTTGATAATCCTCACACTAGATACACCATTGAAGTAAGTGAAAAGCTCTGTGTTGTTGTTTTAGTTATTTTTTAAAGATTTACATGTACAATGTGTATGCATGTACCAGGATTCTCCACAGGATTTTAGTTTAGTGTTCATACACACAGCTTCTTGTCAGCTTTACATGTATGTTGTGTAGCAAGTTTGAGCTGATTTTGATCAAAATTGAATTTTTAATGTATTTTTTAATTTGCTCAAAAATTGGGCCAATTTCCCTGTACTATAGTACAGGGTCATTAACCGAATTTCACTCATGAAGTTTGTTTTTTAGCTCATCCTCACCTAGCAATCTTTGTAAGGAATTTTGCTTATGTACATCTACTTGTACTTTAATTTACATGAGTACATGCAGTTATTTTTCTCATGTTTCAATTTCTTTTTACTGTACATGTAGTTATTGTATGTACATCATATACATGTTCATAACATGTTCATAAGTAACATGTGTACATCTACACATGTTACTTGTAGTAGGTACAACAAGTTACATTTTCATGTACTGGTATTTGCATACATTAATTTCCTCTCTTTTATCCAGGCTCTCCGTGCTGCATGGCGCCAACTGAACACTAACATCAGTCGCAGTATCAATGAGATGGAGAACCAGATACTCATTAGGGACACTATGGGTCTCACCGAAGACCAGTTGAGAGAGTTCCGTGCCTCCTTCAATCACTACGATAAGGACAACTCTGGTCAACTCGATAAGAATGAGTTCCGCTCTTGTCTCCTCTCCCTCGGTTATGCCCTGGGGACTGACCCTGTAAGCCACACCCTCTGATTATTTATAACGTACATGTATAGCACTTTACTAAAATAGAATAAAATGGTGCCACACCCTTAGCAGCAATTGAATATTTTTAGAGTTTTAATTTTACAGTTACATGTGGTACATGCTAATCTCAAAAGTTTTGCTCTTCACACTGTAATTGACCACACCCATTAACTATGTGTACTACGTGCAGATTTGTAGATGTAAATCAATTATCAATGCTGTACTACTTATCATTATCATTAATTAAACTTTTATGTGTAATTCAATTAATCTTTGTTACTATTAATTTGATTTATTTCCTTGCTAGACGAGTGATCCTGAGCTTGATCGTCTTTTTGCTCAGTGTGATCCCAATGGGACTGGCTACGTTACTTTTGAGTCCTTCCTTGACTTCATGACTAAAGAGACCGTTGATCAGGACACTGCCGATCAAGTCATGAACTCGTTTAAGATTCTTGCTGGTGATAAGGTACAAATAGAATCGGGACTTTAGTTTAGTTTACATGTAGAGGCACAACTTTAGTTTATATACATGTACAGTACATGTACCTGTTTACATGTACATGTATATTGTTTATTGTTCATCTCTTTTTTCCCTTTCTCTTTCTTTCCCTCATAGCCATATATTACTGAGACTCAGCTCAAGATGGAGCTCCCCCCAGAGCAAGCTGAATATTGTATTCAGCGTATGAACCCTTACACTGGGCCTGGGGCAGTTGAAGGTGCTCTTGATTATCAGTCCTTTTCCACCGCTCTCTTTGGACAGAGCGAACTCTGAGGGGCCCACCTGTAGTTTTGCTTTATTATTGACTCAATTTAATGTTTAGCATTTAAATGTAGCTAAATGCTGTAGTTAGGAACTCTTTTCCTTTATGCCCTGTGTGTGCATTCGCCTATAATTATTACTGTTACCCGATTTTAAGAGAGAGAGAATTAATTATTATTATTAAAAGAATTATTAATTTTTTTGCTTTTGGTTATTTTTGTTTCTATTAATAGATTATTTTTGTTGTGTTGTAATAATTACGTCATAACTGAGCATGCGTACAAGAGCAATGTATCCGGTTGTTTCCGGAGGATTACTGTTATATGTAGATAAGATGGCAACCAGTTTAAGTGTTTTGGGGCATTTCTAAAACAGCCGAGCAATAATCTCCTCTTGAGGCTTTTCAACCACAGCTACAATCTACTTTATATATCTTCTCTCTTGTCAACGTCTCTGTAACCGCTCTCAACGTACTTGAAAGTATCGATTAACTACGCCCAAACCAGCCCCTTTCTGATCTGCGTCAAGTTAAAAAGATATGGGAGCATTCCTCGAAAAGCCAAAAACAGACAAGGTCACCAGCTCTGGTGAGGGCTATGGCATCAGATATGCCGTCTCGGCCATGCAGGGATGGAGAATGGAGATGGAGGACTCTCACATATGTGACACGGACTTCATTAAAAACTGGAGCTTCTTTGGTGTCTTTGATGGCCATGCAGGGCCTAAAGTATCACAGTACTGCTCTGATCATATACTGCGTATAATGTTGGATGATTTAAAGGCCAGTTTAGACGAGTGTAAATCAACCGAAGAACCCAAAGAAAGAATCAAGCAGGCCATTTACGACGGTTTCCTAAAACTAGACAGCAAAATAAGGGAAGACCCCACGTGGGCCAATGGTGAGGATCACAGTGGCACGACGGCTATCACTGTAATGATATCTCCGACTCACATCTACTGGGCCAACTGTGGGGATTCACGTGGCTTCCTCTGCTCAGATGGAAAGGTCAAGTTTGCCACTGAGGACCATAAACCATACCTCGCCCGTGAGAAAGAAAGGATAGAGAAGGCAGGGGGTAGTGTTATCATGCAACGTGTTAATGGATCACTGGCTGTATCGAGAGCACTAGGAGACTTTGATTATAAAAGAAACAACTCAATTCCTGCGAAAGAGCAGCTGGTCTCCCCTGAACCTGAGATTGATATTCTCCCTCGCGACAGTGAAAATGATGAGTTTCTCCTTTTAGCTTGTGATGGTATTTATGATGTCATGAGCAATGAAGAGGTTATGAGTTACGTGAGACGTCAGTTAGAGCTGACGGCAAATTTAGAGAAAATTTGCAACGATCTTATCGATCTCTGTTTAAATAAAGTAAGATTTCGGCTGAAGGAATTGTTTGGCTTACTCTCTCCTCCTTATTTTGTCTCTGTCATACATAGAACAGCAGAGATAACATGAGTGTAGTATTAGTGGTATTTCCTAATGCCCCTAAAGTGTCTCAAGAGGCTATTGAAAAAGTAATCAGTCACACACACTCATACATGTACATACAGTTTATATGTCTCATATATTATTTATCTCCTTTTGTTAATTAGGAGAAAATATTGCAGAAAGAGGCACAGGAAAAGATTGAAGAGAAACTAAAAGGTATTATTTAAGATTATCTCTTTATTGTTTTATCTTTTCCTTTTTTGTTTTTCTTTCAAGAAATGGTGAAGGCAGCTAATGACCCTTTGGAGGTAGAGGAAAATTACATATTGCAACAGTTAATCCAGGAATTTCCTGACAATTACTGTGTGCCAGCCAAGTAAATATATAACATATGCCCCTGTTATTGTGTCACCACTATCTCACACCTTCTCCATGTCCATTAGGAAAAGCTTTATTTCAGAGCACTTACAAAAGCTAACAAAAGACAAATTTGGTGATCTTCCTGACAACTTTACTGGGCAGAGTGACTCAAGCAATGCACCGCCTGACTTTCAGTCCGACTTTAAGTCAATACTCACTGCTGATGGTAATGAGATACACATATCTGGCGTGATGGAGGAGGATTATGTGAGTCATAATTTATCAGACTACATGTACATGTATGCAATGTAGCACTACACGTGTATAGTGGATAATGTACGGTGTGCATGTACATGTATGTAGGGTTTACGAATTTTGTATTATAGTCCATGTACAATGTCCATGTATGTGGTTCACATAGTATATCACATTAATGTTCATGATATATCTAGAAAGTTTAAGTACTATCTGGGAAAAAATTAAGTACCATATGGGCTAGTCTATGCATGTAGTTTTATGGTGATCAAGGAAGCTACTCTATAATGTCAATTATATATTCTGGTAGACTGGTATTATTGATATGTCCTTCACTAAATGAGCTCATTAATATTTTAGATACTTGACTGATTCTAGAAAATTTTGGCTTCAAAATGTAGCTAGTACAGTATTTTCCTTTTCCTGTTTTGTGGGTGGCATATTGTACTATATTGTACTGTTAATGTTAGGTTGCTGTCATGATCGGAAGTTGAGGAATGTTTATGTCCGCATGTTGTTTGATTGTGTCTTATGTACACATACGTTGCAGTGGGTGGAGAATTAATTAATTAATAATTATTGGTCATTATGTACAGTGTTCTTTTGTTGCATGTCCTGGTTGTACATGTACTTTTAAAAGTGAATTGACAATTGAACCACATACAGTTTCTATTTGTGTTTAGTTGTTTAATGCTTTGTACACTCCAGTCCAGGGCATTAAATAAGGCCCTCGTATACTGTACTTACCAAATGTATAGTCCAAATGACATTTGATTTTTTAGTCAGCAGGAAGTTTTATCAATGATGTAGCATACAATGTACATGTACATTTCCTTGTTCCTATGTACTTGTTTTTATGTCGCGTAGATGCATAAAGTTGTTCAAATATTGGTCAAAGGCTATGCGCTATAGTACAGATTATTTCGTCATAATGGCTAAGAGAGAAGCCTCTGTTTTTATAATTTTTTTCCTGATGCTTATACATTTTTTAGAAAGTTTGAGCTGAATCTGATTAAAATTGGATTTTTTACAAATTTTTAAAATTACTCCAAAGTCGGGCCAAAGACTCTGTAAGCATAGTTCAGGGTCTTTAGCCAAATTTTGTCAAAAATGCTAGGAAAATTCTCTATTTTAATAATTTTTTGACAGATATACATGTACATGTCCTTATGTTGTGTATCAACTTTTAGCTGATTTTGATTAAATTTAAATTTCTTATGAATTTTTAAAGTTGCTCAAAAATCATGCCAAAGGCCTTTGGTCTTTGACCAAATTTTGTCAAAATGGTTGAGAGAATTCTCCATTTTATAATTTTTTGATACATATATACTTGTTTTAGAAGTTTGAGTTGATTAGATTGGATTTTTAGGGAATTTTTGAAGTTGCTTAAAAATTTGGCCAAAGACGGTGAAAGACCATGTACTATATAGTACAGCGTATTTTATTAAAATGGCCAGGAGAGAGTTTTCCTTTGTTATAATTTTTGTGATACATACATGTATGTTAAGTTGTTAAGTGTACTATGATTTATTAACAGCTACATGTACATGTACCTCAACAATTACTACTCGAAGACACCGTTATGAATCTTTCACAACTTCAATAATTCATTAATACTATAAATAATAATAATTGGAAAAAGGTGCTCATTAGAAGGCATTAATAATATAATATTAGCACGCCTGGTTGGTTACAAGAAGAAGTGGTGTTTTTTTGCAGCCATGAGCACTGTTATTCCTTGCTTCTTTTCCCTCTCTACAGCCAAAGGATGAGAACCTCTTACAAGCTAATGATAACAGCATCACTGAAGTCACTGATGAAACTCCTACCCCAGACAAAGAGGAAGAAGATGAGAAGATGGAGACCACACAAGACACCACTACTACCACAGATACTCTACCAAAAGAAGACAAGGATGAAAAGATGGAAGAGGAAGGCGTCAAAACTACTACATAGGGGGAATATTCATTTAGTTGACTACGTAATGATATTATATTATATCCATTATTATTATTATTATTATTATTATTATTATTATATTATTATTATTATTAATAGTAGAATTTGATTGTGTGTGTTTGTGCTGTGACTTTTTGTCAAGTTACTTTTCTCTCTCTTACACTGTAATCTCTATCCTTTTTCTCTCTCTTCCCTCTCATACACACATGCTTGTTTTTTTTATGCACAATACATTTAATAGTTAGGCGTACTGACAATTATTTGTTCTTATAAATAATCTTTATGCTGAAATATTTCTTTTTTTATCCTGTGTGCATAGATACTAGTTTATAAACATGGCGTCTCCAGCAATTAATACTGATTGCATTAAATTGAGTTATTCGTTTCTTTGTTTTAGTTTTTGTTCCAATTCCTGTTGCTCTTTAAGGAGGAGGAGGTTTTGCTTCTTGCGTTCTTGTCTCTCCATATCTCTCACAACACCTTCTTTCATCCTCTACTGGTAGAGTGGATTAAGAACAAGTTACAGTTACATTGTGGCTTACCTCTCTGTCTGATTTTTGATTACGATGAACAAATATTATGATTCCTATTGCAAAGCCGAATGCAAGCCCCAGGCTCAGTCTTGGCAGTAACCTATCCATATTTTGCAGGCGTGGTTTAACTAACTAATGAGGAAATTATTACATGAATATTTAATTAGAAAGATGGCGGTCAGGTTGTACAGAAATCTTCTCAGAGCAATTTCTCGTGTAGATTTATCACAGAAGATACAAGCGAGAATGAAGTCAGATTTAATAAATAAGTAAATATTATCTTTTTTGCAGAGACAACGTCAGGGAAGCATACCAGATATATGCGAGAGAGTCCAATCCTGATGTCATAAAGAAGCTTATTGCTGATGGACACAATCACGTGGATACCATTAACCAACTGGCCAGCATTGATAAAGAAAGTCTTAATACTATATTTAACTATAAGTCTTTAAAACTATCATAGTGAGTTTGATATCATCGTGCATTGGCATAATTTTAATTATTTATTATGTTCATTATTAAAAAGCAATGATATATTGGGAAAATATTTGCTCAATCAGAAGCTCAAGTGTGCATTGTCACTTTTCTGCACAAATTTTTGGAATATGAATTTTTCTGATCCAATTGCTCGTAATCAGCCCAAAATTGTAACTCCACCTCATCAGTTTTTGTGCTATACTGAGCTCCTTAAGGGCATTCACTCATGCACTTCTGAACCTGTCCTCCTAATGCCCTGTCAGCTTGTTTATCCACTATAAACTATACACTACATTGAGTATTATGTAGAATTACATAATGAAGTTGCAAACAGACTCTGCAGCAGATGTACTATCACTCTTCATGTATCCCCCTTATTCCACAATAGGGAAGATTGTTAGTTTTTACTTTAATCAGCAAACCTGACATGGCCATGGTTTAATTTAATCCTAACCATTTCTGTTAGCTCATTTGTCTTCTGGAACTGGTTTAGACTTGTGGTATGTACCTGTCTCTTCCCTTTACTCTACCACCACACACACATACAAGAAGAAAGAAAGCAGAAATAAAATATTTCTTGTGGTCTCTTATCGTTGTTCAATGACCATAAAAGTTTGAATACAACTTCATGCCAAGCCTGGTGACCCATTTACTGCTAGCATTGTCAGTGATAATAGTCTCTCTCTATTGTGATACTGCTCTACAGAATCACGCATAAGTCTTACTTGGTATGGCACCAACAACAGCAGCACTGTTAACATTATTCTACTCACGTAATAAGTCACTGATGATTTACTTTTCATTGTATCATAAAAATAATAAAATCATAAATGCTTTGACATAAACAAATACTATATTGGGCTCGTCCCAGTTGAATGTCCTACATTCGTCTAGTATTATTATTATTATTATTATCATTATTATTATTAATAGTAGAATTTGATTGTGTGTGTGTGTGTGTGTTTGTACTGTGGGTTTTGTCAAGTTATTCTTTCTCTTACACTGTAATTTCTGTCCTTTCTCTCTCTCTCTCTCTCTCTTCACTCTCATACACACATGCTTGTTTTTTTTATGCACAATAGCTAGGCGTACTGACAATTATTTGATGTTATTAATAATCTTTATGCTGAAATATTTCTTTTTTTATCCTGTGTGCATAGATACTAGTTTATAAACATGGCGTCTCCGGCTCCTGCAACTAATACTGATTGTATTAAATTCAGTTATGCGTTTTTTGTTTTAGTTTTTGTTCCAATTCCTGTTGCTTTTTAAGGAGGAGGAGGTTTTGTTTCTTGTGTGCTTGCTTGTCTCTCCATATCTCTCACAACATCTTCTTTCATCCTCAACTGGTAGAGTGAATTAAAAGCAAATTACAGTTACATTGTGGCTCACCTCTCTGTCTGATTTTTGGTTATAACTGCCAGATAACATCAATCCTGCTCCAAACGCGATTGCAAACCCCAGGAACATTCTTGCCAGGATCATTCTTGGCGGTTCATTCCCTATGTTAAACATTTTCTTTTCTTCAAGTTTCTTGAATCTTGATTTTTTTCGTGGGCGTGGCTAACACTAAAGCCTGAATAATTTTAATGAGAAAGATGATGGCGGCAGAAATTTTCTCAGAGCAATTTCTTGTATAGATTTATAATCACAGAGGATAAAAGCGAGAATGAAGTGAGATTAAATAAATGAATGAATATTCTCTTTTTGCAGAGACAACGTCAAGGAAATATACCAGATATATGCGAGAGAGAGTCCTGATGTTATCATCATAAATCACGTGGATACCATCAACCAACTGGCCAGCTTTGAGAAAGAAAGTCTCAATACTGTATTTAACTTTGTGTCTTTAAATCTATCTGAGTGAGTTTGGTATCATCGTGCACGTAATTGTGATTATCATGTTCATTATTAAAATGCAATTATTTGAAAAGGTATTAGCTCAATCAAAAGCCTCAAGTGTGCATTGTGACTTTTCTGAGCAAATTTTTGGAATCTGAATTTTTCTGCTTGTAATCAGCCAAAATCATAACTTCACCTCATTAGTTTTTGTGCTATACTGAGCTCCTTAAGGCCATTCACTCAACAATAGAAGTACCTCCTAATGCCCCGTCAACTTGTTTATCCACTATAACCTATATGCTACATTGAGTATTATGTAGAATTACATAATGAAGTTGCAAACAGACTCTGCAGCAGATGTACTATCACTCTACGTGTATTCCCCTTATTCCACAATAGGGAAGATTGTTAGTTTTTACTTTAATCAGCAAACCTGACATGGCCATGGTTTAATTTAATCCTAGCCATTTCTGTTACCTCATTTGTCTTCTGGAGCTGGTTTAGACTTGTGGTATGTACCCTCTCTGCCTCTTCCCTTTACTCTATACCACCACACCTTTACATGTAATCTCTCAAATGCATATACCACTAATACATAGACCATAGACTTATTAGGGACTACGTATACTATTACTATAATGCACATACTTGTACTAATATCTATATGCACAGGCAATTACACATTTGGCATTTGTGTAATTCTGTGAGTGTAAATAATAATTATTAATAGTGTACGTTGGTATGCTTAAGGCCTGTCATACTATGAACTCCCGTCACTACTAGGCTAGTCTGAGCCATAAATCCTCCTCCTCAAAAATAGTCAAAGAGAAAGGAAGTGATAGCTGCTCTTTGTCAGCCATTGGTCTTGTTGGGTTTTTTGCTCCACTGTAGCTGGCCTCCTCTCTCACTTACTCTCTCTCTCTCTGCAAAGAAAATGAAGACAGCAGCAGCTAGTAGAACTAATGGCAACTCTGGCACTCTGTATTCTCAGGTCACCTCTTATTATGCTAGTGATTTTGTTCCTTCAAGGGAGACCAGGGTATCTAGCAACCCTCTCCTCCAAGAGCATTTGTTTACTAGGAGTGCGGACCTGCTCCACCCTTTTAACCCACGAGTACCACCAGTTCGCTCTCCCGGAGTACACATAAAGCCTCTCCCGCTTCAAGGAAAGTACATAGAGCTCTATTTTACGTCTAGAAATCGCTCAGAGAGTGGAAGACAGCTCTCAGAGGAAGATCTATACAGCACTGTGAGGCGCCCACACTCCAATTCCGACCCAGCTGGGCTACAGGCGTTTGGATCTGTCCCGCCGCCGGTCGTCGAGAGAAGAAAAAGACCCTCGCTTGCCTCCTCGAGACTGTGTGATGTTCTTGAAGAGGAGGTTGCCATGTACAGGCCTACATCTTTCGCACTAGCCATAACAGAAAACCCTATTATATTTGATGAAGAAGAAGATGGTGATCTCAATACTAATGGTCAAGGAATATTAGCTGACAGACACTACTACCTACCAACAAAACAAAATGGAGAGTCCAGCACTCCAGTGTTCTCACCCTCTCCTTCCCCCTCCCCTCCTCTAGCAGGGGGACCCGCCATGACAACACAACCACACTCGTCCAGAGAGGGTGACATGCCTCTGGCCCTTTTACATGAGCTCCACCCGCTCCGACAGTGGAGCGTCCAAAAAAGTGGAAGTCTTGAAAATCTACTTTCTCAAAGAAAACCCAACCCTACATCCTCACCTGCAAACGTGTTTAGTTCTCCCGGGAGCAAGCGGAGAGTCTCAGAGCCTGCCATAGCTAAGGATAAGGGAGCTGACATGGACCTCTTCTTATGGAACTCATCCGGTGAAGAAATATCTCGTTTCTCAGTCGCGTATCTCGGGAGCTGTGACATAGACCAGTATCACGGCTGTGTTGATGAGTGTGCCAAGAGACTCTTTGATAATAAAGCAATGCTCAAGGCGACCGACGTGCTCGCTCAAGTGTGTACGAGAAAGATAAGACTCTACCCTCCCTCCCGTCACGGGCCGCTCTTCAAGAGTTTCACTGTTTCAGAGGTCCTTGAGGTTTCTCAGTGCTCAAAGAATAAGCGTCTTGTTGGTATTGTTCTCTGGCAGGGGAAAATCCCTCACTGTCATTTGCTGAGGTGCCCTGATCAAATCATCTCAAACGACTTTCTCCAATCTTTAGAGCTTGCTGTGCTATCAATGAGAGAAGCTACTGATCATGGGGTATGTAAGAGAGAGAGAGAGAAGAGAGAAAGGGGTCCTAAGTAATGGGGCTTTTGGTTATTGAATTCTTGCTTTAGGAGAAAGAAGGGAGAAAGAGAGAGGGGGAAGGATGGAGAGAGAGAGAGAGAGGGAAGGATGGAGGAAGAGAGAGGGGAATGTTATAATGACAACCCTTAATATAGTTTATACCATATTAGACTAATGTGGCACTAGCAGAATTCACTTAGAGAAGGTAGCATTTATCAGTTCTCCATCCTAAAGAGATGAAAGACTATGATTAGCATTCCCTCTGTAGATTGTACTATGTCCTCCTTATTTGGTGTCCTCTTATTATTGAATGCACACAGACCATTAGTCGAATTAATGTTGGAGGAGGGGACTGAATATTACGTGGTGAAGTGATCGTAGCACATAATTACAAACAATGCGATTGTTATTGGTATACCAACCGTTTACTTGGAATAACACAATGGGACTATAACAAACCCACCATAAACTGTAGACAGTCAGGCATTTGTGTGTTTCTATTTTCGGCAAAAGCGAAATTTGTTGATTAACAAAATGATAATAGTCTTATGCTGTTTGTGAGACAAACACAAAACAACCACCACTACACTGTTACGTATAGTAATTAAACAAATTTACTTATTAAAAATTCTTTTTTTCCTCTTCTTCACAGGTCGATGAACTGCATGAGTCCTTACCATTGTCCCTCTCTTGTTTTCCACAAGAGCAACTCTCTGCCTCTCTCACTGCTGTGTACATTGGTTGCACTCGGTCCCCCTCTCACAAAGAGCAGAGCATCTCTGATATCATAGGGAAGGCACTCACAGAGCTCAAGCCTTCGCAGTCTCACGAAGTATCGGTCAACCTGACCCTCTCTAATGTGGAGGTGAAGGACTCCAAGGGAAGGATCCTCCTGTTCCAGCACACTAGGGCCATTCAGTGTCTCGGTGTGTATCAGATTGATAGTAGGTACCTGGGGTATGTTACAAGGGATTCTAACAAGAGTACAGCAGGTACGTAAAGTAGAGAGAGAGGGGGCGGGGATCGACTTTTGTTGATTGGAATTAGTTAAAACGATAAACTTGCTACTTAATTCATGTTGATTTTTGCCCACAAAATCCTTAACCTAAACATAAAACCTTAATAAAGTATTGTTAGTCTTAGAAGAATGCAACTGATTGTGTTAATGTACTTCTTTTATGGTCTTTTATTTATGCTTTATTGTTTATTGCTCCTGCCTGTGTTACTGTCTGTAATAGAAATATTTTTTAAAGTTATTTCACTAAATTTAGATAAAGCAAGAGTTCTGTGTATTGATAAAAATGTTTTGTTGTTTAGCTCATTTTAAATTGTTTCAATTTCAGGACACGTATTTTGGTTTGGGACACATCAGGAAGTTGTGAAGATGGTAACAGCTTTGAAATCAATATGCCAGGTGTCTTATCAAAGACAACAAGAAACAGCTAATGAGGTAATTAAGAATAGAGAGAGAGAGAGGGGGGGAGAAGGAGAGGGAGAGAGAGAGGGAGAGAGGTAGTCACTATAAAATTCCACAGGTAAAGATATGGATATGTGACTACCATCTATTGCACCTTCACAATTAGGAAACCCACACTTTGCCTTAAAACCATCTGTAACAGGAATAACAGTACTTCCTCTTACAAACTTTAACAATTTGCAACTCTTAACTCAGAGATGGGGAGAGAGAGGGGGAGAGAGAGGGGAGAGAGAGGGAGAGGGGGAGTGTGTATCTGTACATTGTATACACTTATGTTACAAATTTGTTTTTAATTATTTTAGACCGGATTACTCTCAAGATTAAAGTCACTTAGATTGCAGCGTTCTTTTTCCTCTCACTCCTCCACCTCCACCTCCACTTCCTCCTCCTTTGCTCCCCACTCTCCTTCATTCCAGTCTTACCTCTCCAGTACCTCTCACGTGCAGTCTAGTCTGTTGGATGTTCCTCGCAAGAGAAAAGACGGTGTTACTGTACCAACCATTAATCCGAGTGTTTCGGAATTCTCGGAGGAAGAATACGTCAAATTTTCCTTGTCGTACGTTGGAACTGCAAACCTCCAAACACCTTTCACCCCTCAGAGTATCCTTGAAGCCTTGGAGGCTTTTAATGAAAAGGGCGTGGCTGCCGGCATGGCCCCGCCCATTGGGAATAACAACATCATTGGGATGTACGTCTCTCCGCTTGGTATTAACCTCAGCGACAAGAAACAGAAGAATTTTGTGAATCGTAACTATCCTCGTAAATCGATTGTTGGCTATTGCCGTCACCCGTTTGATAAGAGATACTTCTCTTTTGCTACTCTTAGGCCAGGCTTTGAGGAACAAGTCAAAGTTCATCTTTTTATCGAGAGCTCAGGACAAGTCGTGGATCAGATTATGGAGAGCATACAGTTTTGGCTACAGATCCCACCAGTTAAATAAACATTTTTTGTTGTTGTTGTTGTTTTTGTGGATGTAGTGTGTGATTTTTATTTGTGGCAATTATTATTGATTTTTTCATTTTTGTATAAAAATTTTTAATTTTAATAACTATTAGTTATAACTATTAATTAACTGTAGTAGTTATTAATAATTGTAGTAGGCGTGGTCAATAGGAATTATTAATTAGTCATGAAGATCTGGTTTGCTGTGGCACTGAATGTTTTTGTATATTTTTCTCTTTCCCTCGCTCAGTCTTGCTCTCACGACACTTCTCCCACTCCACAGACCTTAAGGAAACAGGACGGGGGGCTAGCCTTCCTTCTCAGTAGCGCTCGTAACGTCAGAAAATTTTTCTTTGGCACAAATGTCGAGTACGATACTTTGAGAAATACTGTATCACTAATGTGAGTACATGGTATTGAATGAATGTGGTATTAAGCTTTGTAAATATGCTGTGTATTATAAATATCTGGTGTTATTATTAATGCTTTCTCTCCCTCTCTCTCTCTAGTTATAATGGATCCACACCTTTTAATGAGGATACTTTATTTGATGCATCAGTCCAATATTTATCAACCAACCTAGTGTATTCATTAATAGGTAGGTACTGGTATAGCATGCTCTATCATGTCTCACTATGATGTTTGTACATAATCTGACACTCCCTCTCCTTTTTTTTCTCTACCCTTCTCCTCCCTCCCTTTTCCGCTCTTCAGCTCTAGTCCTCTCTCTCTCCCTTTTGCTCCCATTATTGTTATTATTCTTGTTCTGTTATTGGGAGAAATGCTCTCACTCGCATGACGAGGAGAGATACGAAGATGTTGAGCAGAGACACTCATCGTTGACCTCTCAGTGCGTCAGCTGGGGCATTGCCTTGTGCTCTCTTTTTACTATAGTCCCTCTGTTCACATTCGTCATTATATCATTGATTGGGACAGAGAGGATCAGTCAGTCACTCTCTGATTCTGTGGGTGTTGTCAATCAAACTCTGCCTGAGGTTTGTGATCAGTGTGGGCGTTGTTTGTATTTTAATTATGTAAAATATGTGGTTTTATATTATTATTGTAATTATTATTATTATTACATGTGTTTTGTCATAAAATTTGTTTTCTCAGTGTGGGATAGTAGTAGTACTACAGCTTTCTACAGCTTTATGTCTCTCCCTCCTCCATCTCTGTCCCTCCCTCTCCTCTCTTTCCCTCCCTCCCTCTCTCCTTCCCTCTCTCTCTCCTTCCCTCTCTCTCTCCCTCCCTTTCTCTCCCTCTCTCTCTCTCTCAGTTAGTTGATATACATAATAATGTCTTGTCTAATGTTCAACGCATCTTGCAAGATGAGGCTCAATTTTTGAACAATTCGTTTTATACAGATCATATTTAGTGAGTAATTTAACATATCACATGATTATTATTATTATTATTATTAATTGTTGCTCCACTATTATCATTATTGGTTCTTATATAGTCCATTTTCTGGAAATATCAAGCAATACTTAAATAATTCTCTGTATGACAATGTTACTCACATCTTATATGAGGCAAGTTTTGTATATATACATTTTAATGTACATTATTTCCATATCCTTTATGCATGTACTGTACATGTACATGTATAGGTGTCTGGTATATCGGTTGATGCAGAATATGCTGGGTCTTGGGCCTTGGGTCTTCTAGAGTTTGAAAGAGCTATTAATAATGAGACTGATAATTTCATTATCCTATTGGATGAACTATCTTCTCTTATGAATGTAAGAGCAAGGCATAATGTCACTGTCACTGTGAAGCAACTTTTTGCACTTCTTCCTCTCTCTCTCTTTTAGTTATGTTCAAATTATGTTAACTCATCAAACCATTTGCTATCAATCAGTTGTCAGAAGCTGGTCGGCCTCTCTCCTCCTCCTCCTTCCTCTGTCACTCCCTTGTCCCTCTCATTGTTCAATGCTAGTCTACTCCAGACAATAGTCAGTACAATGGAAGAGACAGAGAGCCTCATCTCACCTTTATCTATTAACGGAAGGATTTACGACTTTAATGAGTATTTAAGCAGCGTGGTAAGGATGTGTTATGCTTAAATTATTATTTTTCATTTATTTACCATGCCTTGTATTGAGGGTTTCTCAAAAGATTTTGGTATAGCGCTTTGTTAATTAATTGTCAAGTTGCTCAAAAATTGGGTCAAAGTCCCTGTACTATAGTACAGGGTCTTTGGCCAAATTTCACCAAAAATGACTGGGAGAGAATTTTCTATTTTTGTAATTTTTTTTGATACACATACATGTTTTTATGTTGTGTAGCAAGTTTGAGTTGATTCCGATCAAAATTGGATTTTTTAATTAATTTTTAAAGTTGCTCAGAAGTCAAAACATCCATGTACATGTACATGCACTTGTACTATGCTGTTTAGCTCACTTAGCATGCTTTGTGGGAAACCCTGCTTATATTGCTGGGGTCTTTTTGTTTTATTATTATAGCTCTGTTGTTTATATGTTGTTTGTTAGGAGGACAATGTCAGTGATGTTATATTCACGCAGTTCCACAGTTATCTTCATCCACTAGTCACTAACATGTCAATAATTGCTGATCATATTCACACCTTGTACTCTCCTATCACTTACGACTATCCACAATCACAGGTCATTGTAGAGAAATATTTAGGACCAAAGTATGTACCTTATAATACCGTATAACGCTTTAATTTGGCAGAGTTTTATTTTGGCGATTGGCGGTTTGCAAGCAGAATCGCCAATATTAAAACCGCCAATCATTAAATGCGCATGCTCAGTAATGCACGTGTACACAAGAATCGCCAAATTAAAAACCGCCAATTACAATTTTACAGCAAAATCACCAAAATAAAGCGCCGCCAAAATAAAGCGTTATACGGTAATACATGTATATTGAATGTAAATGTACTTGTACATGTATGTGTGCATACATAGTGGTATCATTGGTATGTACATGTAGTTGGAAAATTAGGGAGAGGTCAAGCAGCAGTTGAAGTTTAAGTCTATTTAAATTGCAGATTTTAAACTAAACAAGCGTAACAGGGTAAAAAATATTCCTATAATTGATTTCACCACCTTACAAGTACAACCTGGTCATTATTAAGACTTATAGAGGTTCTCTCTACCTTCTAATGCTTCTAGAGAAGTCTTTAGACAGTATCTCTATGCTCTCTTGCTGTTAGAAAGCTCTTAACTTTGTCCCATGTGTAAACCGCCATTTTGTTTGCCGTGACCACACCCACTCACGTAAAAGAGCGTGGGCGGGTGGTTGCTAAGGCTTGTTATTTCTCCAATACAACATGTATAGAAGAAATGTAAGTGTGGACATACAAATAAATATATATATATATATATATATATATATATATATATATATATACATAGCGCGAGGGTGAATTCAATTATAGGAACGACCTGGGGGCTTCGCCCCCAGGTCGTTAAAAATACATGTACTATACATGTACTATACATATACTATAGATGTACTATACATGTACATATACATGTACATGTACATGTATATGTACATGTACATGTATGCTGATACTATCAATTACCAATAGCATTCCTCAATCATTATTAAGTTTAAGTGTATTTTTAATATTTTTTTAGTTATTTGTCAAATGTTAATGAGTTCCAAGTCATCATTTCAGTCTCTTTCTCCCTCTCTCTCTTTGTCCTTCTTGTTGGTGTCATCCTCACTGTGGTCTATGGTCTCATTAACATTATATTCATTTATCTTTATGGAGAAGACTCTGCCTACATAAGAGCCAGCCATCAAGCAGGTCTTGTACTGAAAAAGTGAGTCACGTGACCATCATGTGACCATAATATGACTATCATGTGATCATCATGTGACCATTATGTGACTATCATGTGACCATTGTATGATAATCATGCCACTGTCCCTCTCCTCTCTCTCTCTCTCTCCTAGGCTTTCCTGTTGGTTGTCAGTGTCAGGGATTGTCTCCGCCATCTTTTTCATCTTTACGCTTTGTCTGGCTAGTCTCCTTGGCAGGTCCTGTGGTGTCCATGGTAACTACACAGAGCTGATTGGTGAGCTGACTTGGTTTTATAGCTAAATGACATCAATGATATTATTTTATTAGTAAAAATGTATGTGCATGTTATATAGAGTTGGAAGGATGAGGCATATTACCTGCAATTTCAATGATATTATTTAAATATTTTACACTTCTCGTGCATGAGTAACTGGTGCCTTTATTTTATGATAAGTATGTGCATATAAAATATTATTATCTTTTTTTTAGATGAAGTGATTGATAAGAACCAGTCCTGGGGTGATGTGTACCCTCTTGGTAGTGTCTACCACAGTCAGCCTTCATACCCACTCACTCTTCACTCTGTACTCACTGAGTGTTCAATGAACGCTTCAGCTGTTGATGCACTTCAGCTCAAGAGTGTCATGAAACTTGATCAACTAGAAATCAGCAATGATGTTAGTCTTAATTCTCTTGCTCCTCTCTCTCTCTCTCTCTCTCTCTTACTCCTCTTTCTCTCCTTACTGTACTTACTATTTCTCCTTTTCACTCTCTCTCTCTCTCTCTCTCTCTCTCTCTTGCTCCCTTGATTTCTTAGGACTACATTCACCAGTATGTTTCGAATATTTCAAATTTTGCCTTCAACTCATTCCACCCTCACTCACTCCTTGGTACCAACCTCCAGACCTCTCTTCATCGTTATCTGTCGCTCAATTGGTCCAATTCCTCTTCTCCTCTTCCCATCAACCTCTTCCAGCCTCTCTCCATAGAAATTAGCAACCTCCAAGATATTATTAGCAATATAGTATGTCTGGGGGCATTATAATTTTGAAATGTTTATTATTAATAGTAGCAATTTATAATTTGTAATTTTTTCTGATATGTGTATCAAGTTTGAGCTAATTCCCATCAAAATTGGATTTTTTATGAATTTTTAAGTTGCCCCAAAATCGGGCCAAATTCCCTGTACTATAGTACAGGGTCATTGGGAAAATTTCATCAAAAATGACTAAGAAAGAATTCTTGATTTTTTGTATTTTTTTTCTAATACATACATGTATACATATTCTTATGTTGTGTAGTCCCTGTACTACAGTACAGTGTCTTTGGCCAAATTTTTCCAAAAATGACTAGGAGAGAACTGTCCAATTTTATAATTTTATTCTGATGCATAACCATATTTTTACGTTGCGTAGAAAGTTTGAGGTGATTCCAATCAAAATTGGATTTTTATGAATTTTATAAGTTACTCAAAAATTGAGCCAAAGCCTGTGTATAGTACAGAATAAAGAAGTCCCTATTTTCACTTTTTTGATGCATGCATTGCATTGTACATGTTCTAAGTTATTTATTTCATTTCTTTACAGAGCTATGCACTGGATAATGATACACTAATAACTGTCTTTAATAATTCTCTCACTGCCATCAACTCCGCTCTCCCCTCTCTTGTTTCACTGGATCTTTCCTACAATTCTCTAAGAGAGGAGCTTCAAGATAACAGCTCACTGCTTTCTGAGGCACTGGGTCGTGGGACGGAGGGACATAGTCTGTTGGATCATGTTGAAACGGAGGAACTGAATATTAATAGAAAGATTAATAGATTTGTTTATAACAGTAAGAACTGAATATACCGTATAGGGGTTATTTTTCACTGGAAAATAAATTTCACTAATTTAGCATTTGTATTAAACTCGCGGAATTAAATTCCACAAAAGAGGTGTGGCACGCTAGGAAAATGGCTAAGATTTGCAAAAATTTATACCAACAAATGGCAAATCTGAACAAATTTGCGAAATTTTATACCAACGAAATAAAACCCCTATACGGTATTCATGTACATACGTATCCATGCACTTACATACATGTACATGAGCAGCTGTGTTTACTGTTCTGGTAATTAAATGATTAATGATACTTATTTGTTGGCTAGACGGTACAATGTTATCATATTTGTTATCATTACTAAAGCATTTCTCCTTTCCTTTCTCTTTCCACAGGATCTTGCAAATTAGCAACTGATGTTATTGGAAATTGGAATGCTTTCTCGTTAAGCTCTGCAAATTTTCTTTCGTGTTCCGCCGGTCGTTGCTATCCTCTGTACAGACTATTCCATCAATTTACTGACTTAGTATGCGGAAATTTACTGACTGGTCTTGATGTGTATTGGATCTCAGTATCATGTGTTTTCATATTGAGCTTATTTGCACTAGTTCTATTATTATTATTATCATCGTAAGTAATAAGTATAAATTATTATTTTTTTTATAATTACATTTTTAATTCTCTCCTTTTTTTCTTTTCAGTCGTCTTCTTGATCCGAAATTGCTGACGCAGCAAACTCCAGTAATGTTTATCTTTTCTTTTGTTAACGAAGCAACGTCTCAATTTGTGAGTGAATGCAATTCCTTATTTATTTATTTATTTATTTGTTTATTTGTTTGTTTATTGTTTTAGCTTGGTGTTATGTGGCTGTCTCTTGTCTATGGCATTAATATTTGGCTCGTCGTTGCCATAGCAACCGATGATCACCTGTGTGAGGGTGGGGACCCCTGCTGCCCAGGATGTTGGTAAGAGAGAGCAACGGACAATAAATTATTTTATTTTATTATTTTTTTTAATTTAATTATTTTATTAATTTATTACCATATAGCGGGAAATTTGGATGGAGTTAAATTTGGCAAATTTTTTGGTGATTGGTGGATTTTAATTTGGCGAATTAATTGCCACGTGCCATTGAGCATGCGTATAATAGCTCAAAATGGTGGATTTTATTTTGGAGAATGGCTATCAAAATGTTAAATTCGCCAAATTTAATTCCCTCCAAAATTTCCTGCTATACAGTATTTTCATTTAATAATTTTATTAATTAATAATTTTTATTTTAGGGGTACTGGTGTAGCACTCCTGTTATTATCGTTTCCATTTTGTGTGTCGTTAAGAGTCTACCAATGGATCATGCTCCACAGATTAAGAGGTATGTAACTTCCTTATACCATGAAATTTATGTGACAAAAAAAAATTTGTGAATCCTGCAGTTTTAAGATTTTATGAAATAAATTTTTGCAAATACATGTAGATTGCAAACTGCATCACGTGGCAGTGGAGCTGCAGAAGTTTGCAATTTTAATTTTTGTGACGGGAGCAAAAATCGCAAAGTTTGCAAAAAAATCTTTGTCACGTAAATTTGATGGTATACAGTAAATTTTACACTCGCTTGTTTTATGTAACAAATGCTCTCTTATTACATGTATATCTACATGTACATGTATGTGCTCTCCCTTTGCTCCAGTTTATGAAGGAGTGAAGGCTCAGAGTGTCCAGAGGTACTGGATGAAGAAGATCAACGCTACACTCTTCTACTCTCAACTAGTCCTGTTCTTCACTATCGTGAGTTCCAGCATTAAATTAAATTGACTCTTTTTCTCTTAAAGCATGTTCCATTTCTAGCTATATCTGGTGCTTACATTAATTCTACTGGTATACTGACTGGTATCTCTTTTCTCTCTTGCTCTCTCTCCCTCGTTGGCATGGCGTGGATGGTGCTACTCCTAATATTGGAGAGGAAGGAGTTACTGGGGTACATGTCTCTATTGCAGGACCAGTTGTACTGCTGCAGGAGCAGAGGCAAGTTTATACCAACGCCAGTCTCCCCTGATGTGCCTGTGGGCGGAGTCCCAAACGGTGTCATTACTTCGCAGCCGACGGACGAGTTTAACGAGACGGAGATGGGTGTGGTCAATTCACCATCACCTCCGATAAGACTGGGACCTGTAACGGTACTGCCTCACCTCAGCGAAGAGGAGGAGGAGGAGGAGGGAGAGAGGGAGGAGGAGACTGAGTTTGGACCAGAGAGGGTTAATGAGGAACCCATTGAGTTACCTACTGGGACTCCACCACCACCAGAGGAGGGCACTAGGGAAGAGGAGGAGGAGGAGGAGGAGGAAAGCAACAGAGAAATTGCTAAAGTAAATTTAATTGACTCCATTGACTCCTGTATAAACTGTGTTGCATGCAACAAGACAAATTTTGCATAGTGTATGCTGGGCTTTAGAAGAATTCTTGATGCATGAACAATGTACATTTACACTATTATAGTATCGAATATATATTTACTGTAAAATTGTGTCTCTCCTCATGTACTAATACATAGAGGCCATCATTATGGCTTGACAGGAGATCAGAAGAGCGTGATGGTCAGTACATAAGGACTGATCCTAATCCACACTCTATGTACACTGGAGTGGAAGTGGCTCCTTCCTCGTGTCAGCAGTCTGACACAGCATCAACCCCAAGGAGCAGCATATACACCAGTCATGAGAGTGTCACTTATCATTCTAGTGCTATACCAGGCTACACTAGCACTGATGACTCTTCTTATAAGGTGAGGAAGAGAAAGAGAGTGGTTTCAGTTATTTATGATTACGGTATTTTTAATATCTATTATGTATATTATTAGCTGAAGAGCTGACAAACACTAAAATATAGTGTTGACCCGATTTTGAGCAACTTTAAAAATTCGTAAAAAATCCAAATTTTATTGGAATCAGCTCAAAGTTGATACACAGCATAAGGACATGTATATCTATCAGAAAAAATTATAAAAATGGAGAATTCTCTCCTAGCCATTTTTGACGAAATTTGCCCAAAGACCCAAGGCTATAGCCTTTGGTCGTTGGCCTGATTTTTTAGCAGCTTTAAAAATTCATAAAAAATCCAAATTTGATTAGAATCAGCTCAAAGTTGATACACAGCATAAGGACATGTATATCTATCAGAAAAAAATTATAAAATGGAGAATTCTCTCCTAGCCATTTTTGACGAAATTTGGCCAAAGACCCAAGGCTATAGCCTTTGGTCATTAGCCTGATTTTTGAGCAGCTTTAAAAATTCATAAAAAAATCCAAATTTGATTAGAATCAGCTCAAAATTAAAACAACATAAGGACATGTATATTTATCAGAAAAAATAATAAAAATGGAGTATTATTTCCTAGTCATTTTTGACAAAATTTGGCCAATTTTGAGCAACTTTAATATAATTCATAAAAATTTAAAGTTGAGACACAACATAAGGATATTAGGAAAAAAATTTATAATAATGGAGACTTTTTCTCCTTGCTATTTTTGACGAAATTTGGCCAAAGAATTTTTGAGCAACTTTTAAAATTCATATTAATCCCTCGCCCTTTCTTTCCTTCCCACAGGATGGTTATGAATCCTATGACAGTGAGCCCTCATATCCTCCCTATATTCCTCCCTACATACCTCAGTTTGGCAGTGTTCGTGTGGTATGTCAATCATTATTGTATTCTTATCTTATATTGTATTATTTTCTATTTCATAGGACGTTTGATATGTAATGAAAACACTAAATTTTTCCCAATCTTGTATATTATTTTTTGTGTTATGCATACATGTATATATATATATATTATAATTATTAAAATAAAGTTAAACTGAAGGAATGAAAGTTAATAAAGTTTCTTCTGATTTTTTAAGAAAGAGTTATATTTCTTTTCACTCAGTCTCCTTGCATTACCTTGTCTTTTTCTGTTAAAAATCGTCATTTCTTCATGGCATGACAACTTACTAACTTACAGTTTTCTAATTCTTGCTAACTTTGCTTCTGATGGTTCGTTGGGAAGTTCTGAAGCTTCCTCCAATATTTTGGTTAATTTTTTGATGGCGTCCTCTAAATTTTGATACTGCGTTCTGTAAACTTGCGACGTTACTATTATCTCACCAAGTTTATTGATTTTAGTCCCAAACTGCAAATAATAATGATAAGCAATAATAATATAATTTATTTTTCCAGCCCTAAATCTCCTCAAGATAAAATCATTGATGAAATAATTATCAACATACCGTATAGCACTTTAATTTGGCAGAGTTTTATTTTGGCAATTGGCGGTTTGCAAGCAGAATCCCCAATATTAAAACCGCCAATCATTAATGCACATGCTCAGTAATGCACATGTACACAAAAAACCACCAATTACAATTTTGTGGCAAATTGCCAAAATAAAGTGCCATACGGTAACACTTATATTAATACTTATATTATAAACTAATGCTTATAAGAAGCAAGCAATTACAAACGAACCATTTCTTTGAGACGTTCCTTCACTCTATCAGGGAGCCAGTCAGCCTCTTGTACATTAAACCTTACTTCTGCTTTAGTGCTTACTAGATCAGTAATGATTATTATTATTATCCCATATATTAAAAAAGACTTACACTTATTTACATTCTGGCCACCTGGACCACTGCTACGACTGAACCGAATATCAAGTTTATCTAAAATTAGACGCTACATGTAAGTGCATTCCACCCTGGCTTAAATGCTATACCTCTGGGGACAGGTTTTTTGAATACTTTTGGTTTGTCTTCATTCCCTTTCTTGTCACAGTAAAGCTAAAGTGATACATACTGACATCAGTTGATGGTTTAATATGTAAAATAACTTTTGGTTAGTGAGTAAATCTAGTTTACTTGCTTACTCTAATTCTTGATAGCCCGCTGCAGCTCATTAAATGGCCCTCAAAAATCCTACAAAACTATATTAAAGTGATTATGAGCTATAGTACTAATGATTGCTTACCAACAAGCCTTTATCTAGAGATATTCTTCTGAATAAATAAGCAGACATATTTCTTCCAGTGGCCACTCCCCCAAATTAGGACCAACGTGCTTCCACGTGGTCATTCTCACTCGTAATCATTAGTGAGGTTTATCGACAAAAATTATTATTATTAATTTAGTTTCTTTCTTTTAGTGTCTGGCAATTTTATTTCACTGTTTATTGAAGTGGGAGGAGCTGCTGGTTGCTTGGCATTAGGAGCCTGTGGAACAACTTTACTGTCAACAGATTCTCCTCTAACAGTAACACCAGGAGCACCTAATGGAGGAGAGAGGATAGAGGGAGGATGGAGGAGGGAGGGTGATTGTGTTGTTATATATATTATACTTCAATCCAAAGACATTTTTTTTCAATAGATTCTTAGCGCCTCTGTCTTCAGAGAGAGAAGAGAAATGGCAGAGAACAGCCTCAGAGTATGGTACCTTCTTAGCCTATCACAGGAGCAGAGTAGAGAACTTTCACCCAATCGCACACAACGGATCCTCAGTCACATTAACAAGGTAGTGTAGAGCTACACCCAAATACCAAACACTACCCACTCATTTAATTACCATTTCTGTGACCTGTGATTATGTACATGTACATGTGTATTGATTGTTATTAAATTTTAATGGAAAATCTTCTTTTGTTTTTGTTAGCCAAATAAACTCAATAATAGATTCACTGATTGAATGGAATGGTAAGCCAAGAGAAGACAATGGAACATGATAGTAACTGGAGTCACGAACTTTCACTATGTTGTTTATGCCAACACTAAGACAATGTATTCTCATTTAATTAAGTTTGGTATACTTAGTGAAGGAACTTATCTTAGACTGGTAGGAAATTTCAGTAGTCATTGTACTAGCCATTTTTAGACAAGCTTTTAAAATTCATAAAAAATCTAATTCTGATAGAAATCAGCTCAAACTTTCTACACAACATAAGTACACCTATATCTATCAGAAAATGTAATAAAATTGAGGAATTCTCTCCTTTTCAATTTTGGTAAAATTTGACCAAAATCTGTACTATATTACAGGGACTTTCCCTCAGTATTTGATCAACTTTAAAATTTGTAAAAATCTAATTTTAAGTAGAATAAGCTCAAACTTTTCTATTTGAAGAAATTGCCCATGCGCAATGTTTTGAACTTCCTTCAACTACAGTCCCCACTGGTAAATCCAATGCACAGGCTGACAACTTAGAATGTTTTGCAGAAATGGCCTTTAAAAGATGGAGAATAACAAGTCACGCGTCTATCACATCCCATTCTACTGGTGATCATTCTTCATACGCATATCAGAAAAATTAATTGAAATGGCAAATCACCTCCTAACCATTTTTGATTTGGCCACACACACATGCCCTGTAGTACAATACTCACAATAGTAATTTTTACTGTGAGTGTGAGCCAGATTAACCTACTGATTGACTGAGAGGCCAAGAGAAGGCAATGAAATGGAATAGTAAATCAAGACACTCACCAACTTTCAATTGTAGTTCATGCCAATAGTCATTGGACCGACTTCCATTTCCTTTTTATGATATAATAGTAATATACATTACATTCTGATGTCCATCAAGTATTGTTCTATTATTATGCCTATGGCAATCGACTAATGAAATTGCAGTATTCTACGTAGCTACATTATTTTTTATTATACATTCGTCTCATTACTTAAATGACAATGTAAATGTACCTTACTTTAATTAAAATACTGTTTATAATGTCTCTATTATTGTCTTATGGTCTTTCTCTATCTGTTCCTTCTCCTTTTTCTTGGTCTGTGGAATTTTTGCTATGCCTTGAAACTTTATAATCAATGCACAAGAAGATATACAACATTGTAAGTACAGTTAACCTTCATTTATGATCATGATACAAAATAGAATGTTTATGAATTGATTTATATAATATTAAAAGTAAATAAAAATGGAAAAGTAGCAGGATTAAATTGGAAAAAAGTAAAGAACAAAAGGGTACTTGCAAACTGGTGTGACAAGAAATACTGCATGAATATCTATGGTTTTGCACAAGCTTACTTGACCACACCTCCTAATTACCCCACCCATCTCATAATTGCCACCAAAACTTGAATTCTAGATCTGTAAAGCTTCATTTCCTGTTACAAAAATTGGCAATTTTTGTAATAGGAAATGAAGCTGCAGCATGTTATAAAAGCAGTAGCTGTACACAAAAACTCATCACTGGTAGCCTACAGTAAAAGGATTGTTCAGCATTAGTTCTATACAGCAAGTCAAGACAAGATGGATTCCTGCTCTTATTTTAAGCTGATAGGATGCGTCATTCTTATTAGCATTGCTACTGCACAGGAAACACAAAAAGCATGTAAGTCATACAGTAATAATAATGATTAGACATACTGTATCTATTTTACTAATAGGTTGCCTTCCTCGTAATTGTAAGGAAGCATATGAAAATGGTAAAGTATGCAGTGGAGTATATACTGTGAAACCTGATGAACTACCAGCCTTTGACGTAAATATATTAATATAAACAGTATACAGAACCATTTATAATAAAGATATTTTGCAATGTCCCAATTGGTAAAAAAACCTGTACAAAATTAGTACCTCTAAAATGAGGACACCTCTGCATTATGGACAGGTAACACTGTGCATGTATTAAGGACAGGTAGTGTGGGCCCAATGGTATCCTTAATAAAGAGGCTACACTGTACATGTATTAAGGATAGGTAGTGTGGGCCCAATGGTATCCTTAATAAAGAGGCTACACTGTACATGTATTAAGGATAGGTAGTGTGGGCCCAATGGTGTCCTTAATAAAGAAGCTACACTGTAGCAACAAATAATTTGCATTATAGGTTTATTGTGATATGAGTAATAGAGGTGGCTGGA